CATGCTAAGCATACCGATCCAAATTTGGCCCTCACTTTGTACCCATGAGAAGCAGAAAGAAATGATGCTCGGCAAATGTTCCATACCTTGGACTCACGTGGCTCGTGCTCGGGTGCCCCCTCCTTCGGCAGAGCCTGCAAGGATGAGTGTAGACATCTCAGGCAGCAGACATCTGACCTCAAAAGAGGACCTTCGGATCCTGCTGACCACCTTTTGATGGCACAGCTTTTGAAGAAAACCCAGAGTCAAGGAGTCCCACAGCAGAACCTTCAGACCACTGATGGCAATCTACAAGTCCTTGGGTTGGTCCCTTTGCTGTTTGCTGTTGCAATATAACAAGGGTTACAGACTTGCAACCAGGGACTGTGGGCATCCTGCAGTAATGTTGGAACGTACCTGCGGGTCCAGGTTGTCCTCAAAGAAGTCCAGCACGGCTTGCCCAGGCACCTTCACAATCGTTGGCGACGTACTTTCTCTGCTCGAGGTACTTCTGCTGGTAGGGCTGGAGGCAGCTTGGAAGCGTTGGGCATAGGCAGACTCGCTCTGCACCCATGAGAAAGATCTTCGATTTTGAGGTTCGAGAGCCACATACACTGTACCCAGAGCTTTCGACCATGGTGTCCAGATTGGCCCTTTCTTGGCAAATTTTGCCGCGTTTCTTTGGCATCCACAAGCATGCGGATGGACAATATGCGAGACAGAAGTCACGGAAGTCTGCAGACCTTGCCACAATGCCAGCCACAATGACTCATGGGTCAGAATCGAGCATGAAAAGGAGCTTCCTCACCTCTACTGCCTCCTCCACAATAATGGTCTCAATCTGCTGCTGGGGCCGCCCGTCAGCATCGTACAGTTCCCACCTCTGCTTCTCCACCGAATTCGCAATGGAGCGATCCATGTTGATTGCGCCGGGCTCAAAGATGGATACACGTTCTGGATCGTCTGTCAAAGAGGCAATGTTTCGGTACTCAGAGGTATGGCAGACCAACCTTCTTTCACCATAGCATTCAGAATGCTCCTGCAGATTGATCGACCGCGTTCTGTAGGTAGAAAACAAAATACCTAAGCACAGCCCTTGATCTTTAGGTGCAGTAGCTGAACAAAGAGCACCCACTTGGCAACGTTGTGACTTACCCCTGCTGATTCTAATCTGGCTCATGAGATCCGACTTGATGGGCTCATCCAGGGGACCGCACCGAAGGTAAACCCTGCGCAGTGCACCCTATATTTGTGTTTTTTATCCTGGCGCTAGCCAGGATTTTTCCGGTAAATCCTGGCTGGTTTTGGAAAATTTCCGGTAAAAGAGTGATTTTCCTGGCTGGAAAATTCAAAATTCCGGTTAAAACATCAAATCCTGGCGGGCTGCTTGCCCGCTTACGGTACTTCCTGGCTGGCCGCCAGGATTTTCCGGTGAGTTTTTCCCTGGCTGGCGCCAGGGTCAAAACCCTTCTTGCGCAGACCTGCTGGCTGGCCGTTCGGTGCGGTCCCCTTGCTCATCCACCTCACCCTGCAAGCAAAGCATGGAAAGGACCTGAGTTTCTCCAAGAAGGACAAGATGCGAGAGATGCTTGAACCTGGAGTTCCAGAAAGGAGCCTTGATGCACAACATGCAAAAGCAATGGGTAAGTCAATCGCAAGCTTGTTGGCCATCTGAGCTCGTTGGGCATATGAACTTCAGTGTGCCACAAAGCGATTTCAGGGAGGTTGATGCACGTCCTAGGGGAGACGCGAAAGGAGGTGACCCCCACCTGGAAAGCAACTGCGCCCCTGACAGCGATCCCCATCCTCAGGCTAGCTGTCTTGGCGAGCCGTTCCGGGCTGTACTTGAGCAGGAAGATGCAGTTGCCCTTGGATGCCGCCTCCGAGATCATCGAGCCAGACAACCTGCTAGAGGACCTGGGAGGGGAGCCCCTCTCGTACACAGCCCTAGCCTGGGAAGCCATTGCTGACAGCTCTCTTGCAGTCTGAAAGACACCACACGAAACGCAAGCCAGCACTTCAGGGCTTGTAAATGGGCGTCCTCAACACAATCAGCAGCATGCTCACCAACTGCCATCCGCAGCCTCACCCAACGAGCCAAAAGGATGAGAACCATAGCTGCAGCGTACGCAATGCTCTGTTGTCCTGTGACGGCCATGCTCGACGCCATTGTAGCATTTGCCAAATCTACTGTCCTCCGTAGACTGCACAGTAGGGTAGTAGCTGAGCATTTTCTCGGCTCAGTGGCAGCGACATTTACCATTGGCATTTGGGCGTTGGGACTCGACGGTTATAACTACGGGTACTTTCACTAAATACTATTTTTATCTCATATCCAGGCAGAGGGAGACGCCCGACGTTGCCGGAGAAACCGTGAACTGCCGTTTCAACTTTCATACTAAGTGCGAAGTACGTTGCTGTTCGTTAGATTATAGCTAGCTTCAAAGTTGCCTACCTATTCAATGTAGGACTCCTGATGGACTGCACAATGTTCGCAATTCCATCCTTGCAGCATGATCATGATCAGTGAGATCATGGTATAGCCATCATGATGCCGGGCATGATGCGCATCATGTATATCATATGTGTGACGCACTCTGATGAGTCCTCTTGTTCTGGATAGATAGGGACCCAAGCACGACGAGGAGGAATACGTGACTTTAGTCCACTGGTTCGTTGCAGCTGCAAGGAAGATTGAGGGGTATAGGAAGCTCGATCTAGTTGGTTGTGATTAGAGCCCCAGCGCACTCGTTTATAAGTAGTTTGCCTGAGGGCCACCGATTGAAGGTCAGCCATTGAGGAAGAATAGTGATGACATTACACTCAATCAAATTATGTATGCCATGAGAAGCCTATGGCCCAGGTGGCTACGGCGTGTAAAAGAGAACATCATGCGATCGGCTCCAATATTATAGCTCTTCAGGCTTTTATCCGTTCCTATTAAGACTCATGTTGCAGCCATGCACCAACAATACAGAAATAATGTCCGTCCACAACCGAGCCACGACCATTGCATGCCCAAATGGAGCTTGTGCACATTCCCATGTACGAGCTCACGCGTTAGGAAAGTACATGGACCATACATGCATGAATTAGTTGTCAAAACCGGGCACATGATGCATCTCGCTTACTCTCCTCAGGCTGAAACTAGTTTCATCTCGAGACTGCATAAGCGTCAACAAACACTCCACTGAGGCGTTCACAGCAGAGGACAAGTATTGCTTGCCAATTGCTGTTGTACCAACTTTGATAATCAACAATGAACGTTGCAGTAGGCAGAACGATCTCGCTTCAAATTTTGGCAGAACTAGGTCCATGGATTGACGGATATAGTGCACTTAGAAGCATCAATCTAAGCTACACACCTAGCGCCCCGCTCATAGCGCTGTGCACCTCAAGACCGATCTGCGCCTCGGCCTTATCCTCATCTGACTCGGCAGCAGCAAGCTTTGCGACGTACTCATTGAGGCCCTTCTTCACTTCCTCAGGGTCCAATCTGCAGGAACGAAGGTGCAGTGTTAAAAACGAGCATTCGTGTAAGTATTGTCACAGACGACTTCAGAACCAGGCTCTTGTATGCTGAATGAGAACATCCGTTTGTCCTGTCAATCGGGTTTCGAGCTGCAACAAAATCGGGTGGAACGATGGAAGCATCTTGACACACGCTTATTTCCCTCGTGTGATTTGTCTCGATGCGCCTGAATACATCGACGAGAGCATCCGGATCTACCAAGAGAGACTGGTTACAATAAAGCCGTTCGACGCCCTGCCTTAAAATAGGCGCCCTGCCCTGGAAAACCGTTGATCTGCGCGCCCAAGCGACTCCATGCTGATCAATTGATAAAAGCAACACTGAATCCGAAGCTTGCCCCTTTTAGACTGTGCAGACATCCGCAGCTAAAGGCCAGGATCTGAGCCAGAAGTACCAAATGCTGGGCGCAAATCTGCAATCAGCACACTCTGTCTGGAACCATCCTGCCCTGCCAATTGCATCAAACGTGTCCTTCTGATGTAGGTGCTAAGACGAGAAAGCACCAGAAGGCTTAACTTTTTGCGGAGACCAAGTTAACACAGAAGCTGGAGAGATAATAAATAGCAAACCAAGCATGACGGTGATACCATTCCTGATGGGTCTTGCCTGAGAGATCCGTTTCGACCAATGCATAAGATCAGGCGAGGATTATCGAACCACTGAATCCGAAGCAGGAGGAGTCGTGGAAGCGAAAGGGGTACGCACTTACAGACTGGTTGACGTGTATCACGTCATGTCAAGAGTGCATGAGAAGGCTTCAACCAGAAATTGTAAAAGGTCGCCAGAAACTTCAAATTGGAAACCGAAAGGACTTTGATTGCTCGCAAATCTGACCAGCATAAAAGCCTCGCTGGTACGGGCAAAGGATTGAAGAGGCACCTAAAGTGTTTAACGTGTGCTTAGGAGTTAGAGCGGAGACTATAGAAGGGCAAATTAGAAGCAAAATTTTCATAGATGCAGACTTAACGTTGACAAGGGATGTCCAGAGTTGGGTTTGCAGTGCCTTAACCAGCATGATCCTGTCTGATGGGACCTCCTTCATCTTGATGACATCAGCAATGGGAAGCACTGAATACAAACAAACCGCAAAAAAGAAACGAAAAACCTCAACGAAGTGCGCGGACCTGTCTGGATGGCACTTTCCCGAGAGCAAAGGCAGCACCACAGAAGCCATGGAACTCGGAGCCAACAAGGAATGGAAATGACACCACAGCGAAGTGATAAGACCTCTAGAAGCGAGTCAGCCTCACCAACAATCAAATCAGGAACGAAGACGGTTCAGAACCGGAAGCAAAAGGATGCCAATTAGGAGACGACAACATAACGAAGCGCACGCACCTGTCGAGCGGCACCGCCTCGACCGCAATCACGTCGGTCACCGAGTTTGCGGGGATGTCGCCCTCAATCCCAACCAGAACAATGGGGAAACGGCTGGATGATGCAAGCAAAAGGATAACACCGGGGAGACAAACCAGATGAGAAAGCGCACACACCTGTCGAGGGGCACCGCCTCGACCGCGATCACGTCGGTCACCGAGTTCGCGTGGATGAAGGCGAAGCCGCTGCTAACAAAGAACTTGGTGATCTCGCTGTCCTTGGAGATCTCGAGCAGGCCTGGCCGGAGCTGCGCCACAGTGGGGACGTGGCCGGGGAGGACGCCCATCTGGCCGGTGGTGGCGGGGAGGATGACTTGGTCCACCTGGTAACCAAGTCGGTTAAGGCAGGGTTAGCGCTTGCAAGGGATATTTGTAAACTGAACTGCCCCAGAATGCCCCACAGAGTTGATAAGTATAGTCACTGTTCCCTTGATAAGAAGCTCGCCATATGTTTCGCATGGACGCCTGTCTGGCCGGTGGTGGCGGGGAGGATGACTTGGTCCACCTGGTAACCACGTTGGTCAACGCTTGGGTTAGCACATTGGTCAAAAGATTAAATAGTGCTCACGAGGTAAAATCGATGAAACCACACTTATAGAGGTAGTAACATGTTCAGCGAGGATTCCCGGCTGGCCGGGGGTGGCGGGGAGGATGGCTCGGTCCACCTGCTTAACGAAGTTGGTCAAGGCTGGGTTAGCGCATGGTACTTGAGTTGGCTGATGCCTTGTTAAGTTGGCCATGATTACTGTTTGATCAAGACTCGGTTGACACGCGTTGAGGCGGACACGCCCTGGGTTGGTGGTGGAAGGGAGGATAACTGGTCCACCTGTTGACGTGGTTGGATTAGTGCTTAGTCAAAACATATTAAGCTTGTTTGGTGCTTCGTTAGCTTGGATCACGATTACATTGTACTCAAGTTTTGCTCATGTCCAGGGCGGAGGCCCATCTAGCCACTGGTGGCGCGGAGGATCACTTGATCTGTTGGTGGAAGAATGTGGTGGAGGGATGGGTTGGTGCACGGTTAAATCGTGTTTAGCTCGTTGAGTGCGCAGTGGAGCTGGCACTGTGTACTCCCTTAGCATGTATCCAGAGGGGGTGCCCAGTGTGGCGGAAAGACTGGCTTGAATTGCCAACGTCAAGACTTGTGGCTTTGGTTAGTGCGCGCTCAATTGTATCGAAGCATAGAGAAGCGGGGGACAAACAGCCAACAGGCTTGATCAGTGCATTCTTTCTCAGCACGGGTGCTGGATTGGTGTGTCGTTAAGAGGTGATTAGCATTATGCTGACGCAGAAAACCACGTGAGAGGATCTTCGCAAAGGTTAGCCAGACTTGCATTGATTGGTGATTTTATTGATGTTTACGATGGAAGGGAGAGAAGAGGGGAACAAAGGACAGGCGAGCAAGAAGAGAAGCAAAGAGTATAAGGGAAAGAAGTAATCTGGCTTCTCTTCAAGTGACTTGGTAATGTGCTCGAATTATCCCATGAGTACATTAATCCTAAATTCAAGGGGGATTCACCCGTCAGACCTTTGTCTAGGGTTAGGATCATAGCCGCACAGTTTGCTCTATGATTTCTGCTGGATGCGCAGGTTGGTGCATGCACTGACGAAGCAATCCAAAGCATTCACCAGCAAACCTAGTGAAAGCCGGGCACATATAAGAGTTTCTGATAATGGTGACTTCAATAGTGAGAATCTACAGCCATCCAATGTGGAGTGCCAGTTAAGCCCTGGCCACATTGTGCGTTTCCTTCTTCAACTTGTGCCACGATATCTCTGCAGTTGACCGTACGGCTGAACACAGGATGCAATGCCAATTTGGCGATCAGCTTCTCCATCCCTGTGTATCAGGAAGGCTGAAACCCTTCTCCATACGTGAGCGTAACCGGAAACTTCCGCCAATGCAGCAACAACAGCAAGATCCCAACAATAGTTGCACTTTCTCATCTTCCACCACCAGCACTCACCTCTTCCTTTTCAAAGAGGCTGTCGTGAGGGAGAAGGAAGTTCAAGGTCACTTTCTCAGGGATTGAGCTTGGGACTTCTTGTCTGGCGGGTAGCAGATCGCCGGGAAACTTTGGGAGATCAAGGTTCGGGGCCACTTTCTTCCATTCCTTCTTCAACTCCTCCTTGCTCACGAGCGCAGGCGCCCCCCCCTCCCCAGCATCTGCATACCGCAATCTGAGCGACCGACCGGCCCTGACAAAGGACCGGACGGAATGCCTGAGCATCGTTGCGCTGGTTATCAGATCAAAAAGAGCAGCTCCTCCTTGGGTATTTCAACCTTATCAGCAAACCACTCTTGGGGGAATATGGCACCGCCTGCTGTAGACACTTGAGCTCTGTACCCCACCTCCAGGAGCGTGCTGCAGCCAATCCCGTGTGTTTGAATTGACTCTTCACAATTTGATTCTGAATGAAGTGCTCAGCATGCTCCCCCCTGCCTCCGAGTCGACATGCCAAGCTATGGCGCCAGCAAACTAGTATGAACAAATATTCCATTTAACGACTTCAGTAGAATGGAAACTTTGAATTTGAAGCATTGAACTCTCTACTCTTTGCATACGACAAAACTCTGATGACAATACATAGCACATGACGTGGATTGACGTGGCGCTGGTGTGAGATGACGCTCAGCTGTAAGTTAGGGTTCCAACTTCCAATCCAAGAGACACTGTGCCACAGTCAGCAGCTGAAGCCTAAGATTTGAAAGCTCCCTAATAGGCTTTGATCAGGAGTTCAATGCAAGCCATGGTTGCTCTGAACGCTTTTCCTCCCCACGAGCACCTCTTTGAGCCTATCGCAGATTGATTCATCTACTTTCCTTCTCTTCAGTTCAAACATACTGTTCGCGTAGGCCACCATGCATGCACTGCGCTGGCAGCTCACTCGGTTCCGGGTGGGCCTCAGAAGTGCCACTGTATGCGTCGAGACACAATCAAATCCATCCGCCTGGAGGATAGTCTCAGAGGAGGCCAACCATAAGCAAAGCGTGCGCTTGCTGAGCTCCCTTACAGAAGCACCACGTCAAAGGTTTCTGTTGCTGGAAAGCTGGACTACTGCACAGGTACTTGCACATTCAGCAACACCTTGTTGGTCTGTATGCAGCTGTCTGTTGAAATATTGGCGCTCTATTTGTGCTCACACCTTGTTCCTTACCTTTACTCTGAGTTGAGCGGTTTTAGAGCCAATGAGTCGATGAGATGGAGCTGTCATTGAAAGACCGCATCTGTGGCTGGTCTTCTTGCCATTTGATGACTGGATTATATCCAGTGGTACTTCTGTATACCCAAGTGGAGTGCGGAGTATTGACTTGCCACGTTCTCTTTGAATTGAGAAGGTTGCCACCTCAATCCTCACTGCTTGCCCGAAAAGGAATGCATCCTCAAATGCTGTCTTACTTTTCGATGAACAGAGATGCACCTCTTGGGATAACCTATGGCACGAACGGCGAGAGTTTTCAGCACCTGCATCAAAGCCTGGGCTCAACAAAGATGGTGTCTACGATATTCTGCTCGCTCAAACTGGAGAGGGCATTGCGGAGTGCGAGGTTCTCAAATGGAATGTGAAGGAAGGGCAGGAGGTAGGTGCTACCACACCTTCGATACACCAGCTTCTTTCCTTCTGCAAGTTGGACACCTCTAGTCATGGGGCCAGCAACAGTGCTTGGGTTGCTTGCTCGAGCGCTCCTTTTGGTTGATTGGACTCCGGTTCTCCTTGTAAAGTAGCAAGACAACATGACTTCCAGCAGCTCGCTGTTCACTTCAAGGAACCTGTGTCTCCCCTGAAAAGCTGGTTTTGCAGGTGTCCTTGAGCTGCTTTGGGAACTCGCACAGGCATGCTCTGTTTTGAAGTTTACTAGTCGCCTATGCTATCTTTTGAGTTAGAAACTCTGTTTGGGGCTAGCAACCGTACCGAAGGCGTTAGTCCAACCCAAAGCATAGCTAGGCAGTTGAGGGCATTCAGTAAAAAAACTGCAATTTAAAGGACCGGTTTGAGCTTGATCTGCCCTTTTTAGCTGACCAGGATGATTGATCTTTCGGTGCAGGTCCAGCAGTTTGATCTACTCTGCGAGGTGCAAAGCGACAAGGCCTCAGTGGAGATCACCAGCCGGTACGCAGGCACCGTCCGCAAGATCTACTTCCAGCCAGGAGACATTGTCAAGGTATGGTCCGCAGCCCCTGTCAGAGTTTGAAATATTTTCAGGTGTTTTTCGGCAAGTCGCGCTTTCGATGAGCTGTTTGTTGGACGAGTTTGTTCTTTGATTGCAGTACTGTATATAATTGGTGGACTACATGCCAGCGGTCGAATGCAAATGCTAGTGTATGCTTTCATGTCAACATGGTCACACAGCAACTGACGCTCGTTGACATGGCTTGCCTGCTAGCCAAATGTGTTCAGTGGGCAAATATGGAAACGAAGAGTCAGCGATCGTGGGTCGACTATCTGGAAGGGCTACCGTTAGCAATATTAGCAGTGTCCGGTTGCTTCCTGTCTTATAGAGCTTCAGTTTCTGTAGCTTTGTATGAAACAAGAGTGTGAAATCTTACAGGGCCTCTACTCAACCTTACCTCATGAGAGTCGGCGAAATACCCTTGTCCTGGGTTGTAATCAATGTGCTGCCAAGTGAAGTGCTCGAAGCCAATGTCTTGTCCAATCCAAAACGGGTAGCATCACGTGAAAGAACTCTCAACTGTGTCGTTCTCAAACGCTATGCATCACTGTGACAGGTTGGAGAAACGCTGTGCGACCTGACCCCCCTAGGTGGCCAACCCGAGCCTGCCACGTCATCAGAAGAGCCCGCCCTTGCTGCCGCTCACAAGGCGTCTGCATCGGAGCCTGTTACAGCATCGGTGATATCCGAGCACGCGCCGAAAGCGGGAACAGGGGGCCATGGACCTAAGCACAAAGCATCAGCGAGCCCCGCAGTGAGGGCCTTGGCGAGAGAGTACGGGGTTGATCTTAGCAACGTGGTGAGGCAAGCTTCCGATTCCACTTTTGTCTTGGTATATGCTCAAGTGCGAACGTATCATTGTCATGGACAGGTCTCTTTTTACTCAGCAACAAAGCTCTCTCTTTATTTTCCTTCTCGCCTGAGGTCATAGACGTCAAGCCCTCTTTAATTTGACTACGAACTTAGCTTAGCTTTTTTGTACATTCTGCTTCCGGTCAGTGCGGGAAACGTCACAGGGTCAGGGAGAGTTATGAGAATCTTTGAAGACAAAGCTTTATTGCATTAATCGACGGCCTTCAGATGGGCACCGTAACGATGACGGCTTGACGGCTCGAATATTTTTGGTGAGCACATGCTCAGGCAAAGATTGCATTGCTTCCAGGTGGGAACCGGACCGGAGGGCCGCGTTCTGAAAGGCGACGTCCTTCGTTTCGTGGCAGTCTCACAAGGTGTTGAGGAGACGCGAGAGGTACGCACCCGGCCTCGTTTCTCCTGAAGTATCGTCGCAACTCGCTCCAATCAGCAGAAGCATAGTTTTAAGGATTCCGGCGGTGAAAGGGACTGTAAGACGAACGGAGTGGGTCGAGTATCCCTCCAGGCCTTTGAAATATGTTTGATAGCACGTAGCTTCCGCCTTTCTCTCCGATTGACCGCCTCTGAACTACTTGTCGATCTGCGTGCCCGTGAGGATGGGGTGGCGCTCCTGTGCGCAAGACTAGGGTGCCGCTGAATGCAGAAGCTGGCAGAATTATTGCCTTTTTGTTTGCAATCAGCCATCGCTTTTGGCTTCTTCCCCTTTTCTACTTAAGTAGGGCGACCAGCCACGTGGTGTTTAGTAGATTCCTTGCGTAGTGGATTCTGCTTTGTTGTCGCCGCGGAATTTAACACCTAGTACCGCGTTCGGCGTCTTGGACAACGGGCATTCCGGCCGTTTGGTCGCCGATCCGCCAGATGGTACTTCCAGAAGCTGAAGCAGCTTCGTACGCTTGTGTCCGCAGGCTGGAGGCGTTTCGGACGTGCCCCAGGATGCGCCTGCGACAGTGTCCGAACCCAAAAGCGTGTCCGTAACAGAACCACTCAGGCCCGAGGCGCCGGAACGGCCGGTTCCTGTTGCTGCGTCTGAGGGCGACAAAGTGGTGCCTTTAAGGTGATTGCAACAGCCCGTGCATTGTTAAGGCCATTTATGTGGTTGTCTCCTGTGGCCTTGTTGCTAAAATGCTGCGAAATAATGAGCATCTTTCTCCTGGATTCGCCTCCCATGGCCATTCTGAGGGTGAAAGCATTGGAACTGCAGCGAAGCTATCATCTTGTGGAGTTTGGCGGATCGGCAGCACGCTGCATGAAAGTCCTTAGCAAGCAGACATGGCAGCAGGAAGAATCGTATGAGTTAACCAAGAGCTAGACACGAGCTTCATGACGCATAGCATCCCACTGATGAGCTGCCCTTCTACCTGGTCAACAAGAGAGTTCTGTTTGCATACGTATCCCGTGGGGTACTTACGAAACTGAACCGACAGCAAAGTCGCAAAAAAGAAGGCCACCTCTTCAGCCTGTCGGTGTTTCCGCGGTCCCACTTTATGAAATCGACAAAAATGCGCCGTACTTTGCTGACGTTGTTCGCTGACGTCACGCAGGGGCTATCGGCGCGCCATGGCTAAGAGCATGGCGGCCGCGAATGAGGTCCCGCACTTCACCTTCTGCGAGGAGATCGACATGGACCGGCTGGTGGAGCTGCGGACGCGGCTACAGGTCTGGTTTCCGTCTCCATACCTAGTTCTTCGCACCTGTTCCAGGCTGGCACGGTTGCCTTGTGCCTCGTTCTTTTCTGCGGCATTCGGCAAAGCAAGTGCCGTGACGGTCGTAGACTCCGTTTACGAGGAGTCAGAAAGACGGTGACGTCATTCGTGGGGCGTGTGCGGGTATCTACATCCAATAAGCTCAGTGAGCACATGGAATACCTTCTTTACTTGGAGACCTGAAAGTGCGGTTTCAAGATAGCCCAAGACTCAAGAATGTCTGCTGGTTTCAGGCGGCCGCGGCAGTGGCTGGGGGCGCTGATGTCAAGGTGACGTACATGCCGCTGATCATGAAGGCGCTATCGGCTGCGCTGCGGGACTTTCCGGAGGTGAACGCGACGGTGAACGCGGATGCGACGGAGCTGACCTGCCGAGGTGGGTTCGCTTCTTTCCCAAATGTGGTCGACAAAGCAGAGATCGTTGATCGTTTCCATCGCACTGGTCTGAATGAGTCCAGCACACGGGTCTCCCGCACGGAGACTAAGCGTTCGAAAAAAGTTTGGCAGAAAAAGGTTCGTTGCGGTGGTACTTCCTCGTCACAATCTCTTTCCTCATTGGCGGCCGCACTTAGAAGCCATCCCCCCATATTCTCTTTTGAGTTGTTTTCAGGCTTGACCCCCAGCAGACGACGCTTGCATGTCACAAGCTGCACATATCCTGCACCTGTCAGAATGTGCTGGCTGTTCATGTTGACCTCCTGCAAATGTTGTGCCTTGTATTTGGCAGATCGTTCCCGGCGATTACGTCCGTGACGTAGTTTGGCTTCGCTAAATTTGCAACGTTCAATGCAAGTTCCTGCGGACGCCTCGTTCCTTGGTCGATATGTTGTTCTTCCAGAAAAGAGGCCAGGGGGCAGCTTCTTTAACCTTCGTTAACCAATGCAATGAAGCATCGTTGCCTCCTCTGCCCTGCAGCGTCCCACAACATTGGAGTTGCCATGGCAACGCCCCAAGGCCTAGTGGTGCCCAACGTAAAGAATTGCCAAGACCTTACCGTTAAACAGGTGAGCTTTTGGCGACCACTCAGAAGCGGCGTACGAATTCTTGGTCGCCGCATCTTGAAAATCACGAAAAAAGCACTGGAAAGTTGTCGCGAGTCGTACGACTACTTCAAAAAGAGTCTACTTGGGCGCTGAGTGCATGAGTCAAATGTCGCAGCTGCGTTCTTGGCGGTCCTCGGCCCGCGCTGATCCAGGTCTGCACCAGTTTGTAGACTCCACAATTGCCGTCCTGAAACCGAGATAAAGAACTCGTCGTACACCCATTCACGACACGCCGTTGATTTTATTTCTGTTTGTCACGCTTTCCTATCTTCTGCTCAGTGAGAGGCTTTTCGCAACCCTTCGCTGCTCGCAACTGCACTCCCCTTCTCCACCACCTATACCGCTCCCCCAAGAGATTCCAAAAGCCCTTTCCGAAACCGCAAAAAGCCTGAAATTTTCCAGGGCGCACAACTTGCAAAGTATCGTCTCTTTGCAGATTGCTCAGGAAATGCAGCGGCTCCAGGGCCTCGCCAAAGCGGGCCGGCTGCCCGACCACGACCTGAAGGGGGGCACAATCACCGTGTCAAACGTGGGCACGATAGGGGGTACATACGCTACGCCCCTCATCAATCTGCCCGAAGTCGCCATCGTCGCTCTGGGAAAGGTGCAAACGCTGCCTCGGTACCGGGGGGGAGAGCTGCGGCCAGTGGCAGTAATGCAGGTGAGGGGGGGGAGGGGGAGTTGAGGCCGTGCGGCGTCCATTTCTTTCCATCTTTCCTTTCTTTTCATTCCTTTCATCCATTTATTCCTTTCGTTCTTTTGTTGGGCTCTCTTGTAGTCTCTACTGATATTGGATTGTTCGTACATCGTACGTATGCATGACTTCGACTTTCCGAACCTGCTCAATAAGTCACGCGATCGTGCTGGTAAGGACCACAGGGAGAGCGGTGCTTCGTTCTCCGACCTGTCCAAACACGGAAACAAGGAAACTTGATTCCATTTGCTTGCAACAACTTGCAGCGTGCGAGTTCTGTGAAAATTCTATGGAGATTCTCAAGCAACTTGGCCGTAACCGCGGGTCTTGCGGGTCGTTATAAGCAACCCCTAAGCACGCACGTGTTTGCGAAGGTGCGGGGCTCTCTCCCAAAGAGGGTCAAGTGCGACTTTCCCGAAGCCAGGCCTCGTATAATCGAGATTCAGCAGAGCTATAGGTTAACGACTTCGAGCAGAGGGACGGCTTGAAAGTGATTCCAAATCGAAATGGTGTTCGAGCAAGGTTTGTGATCCACGCCACATGGAGCGGAAGTTGTTGGCTAGCACGTACTTGTGAGAAACTTAAGGGCTACTTCAAATCTCAATCCAAGCTTCTGCTTATTTGAGGACAGGCGTCCAAACGTCCAAACTTTCCTCACCGTCAAGCCCCACTTTGCGTTGCTCGATGTTTCGGATTTGCTTGGATCTGCTTTGAAAGCGCGACTCACTGTCTTTGTTGGGCTTCTTTGGATCCGACCTTCATCCCTGATCCTCAGGGTCCCAGAGAAAGTACAGAGTCGCTCTTCCTCCTCATTCAGCAAGCTTTAAGAGGTTCGCGATGGGTCTACTTGTAAATTCCGCTCGCTTCGGAACGCAAATGCTTGACACGCTGATCTGATGGATCAATTGCATCTCCTACAAGCATGTTGACGATAAAGCCGTTTTCTGGTTGGAACTCTGCAGGTTAGTTGGTCCGCTGATCACCGAGTAATTGATGGGGCAAGCATAGCTTCATTCTGTCAAGCATGGAAGCGGTACTTAGAGGCGCCTGACACTCTCTTGTTGCACCTGAGGTAGGCATTCCATTGGGAACATCGCCCATTGCTTCGGTAGTTTCAAATGGATGCTAACCGGCACTGCTCGGTGTTTGCTAGCCTCGTTCAGGCCTTTTGACGAGTTCAATGGTGTCGATTATGCATTCAGTGTGCTGAGGATGTCGTTCGCATGCGCATGTTTGATGACAGCAACGACAAAGAAAGGTCGATCTAGTTTTAAGGACAAAGTCAGCGCTGAAAGGCACAGTGATGGTTGTTTTGTGTCAGTATGGAATGTTGAAACGCACATGATTTGATGATCCTCAATGTTCGTATCTTCAAAAGCTTGGAGTACTATCATTCATTCGGATGAGATCAGCGTACCACATTGCAACGATTGCAGGTACATACTCGCAAGTGATTTGTTGTCAATCAAAGGCCTGGTTTGATTCGCTGGCTCCATAAAGCGCATGATACATGAGTACATGCATGGCTCAGTGGCTGCCGGTTCCAAGGACCAAGACAATCACCGACAGCTGTGGCATATAATATACCGCCGTATGTCGTTGTCACTGTGCCAGTGCATGCAATGTCGCGTGCAACAAATCGTAGGCGTTTATGCGCCTTGAATTATGCGGCACTTACGCGGTAATATATCGCTCAAACACTGTGAATCTTCGAATATGCTATCTAGCAAGTATGTCATGCCGCTTTCATATGAAACTTTGGCTTCTTTGATTCAGTCTTCAGCGCTGCACCTAGGGTACTCGGACATGCTCTGTGACTTCATAGAAATTGATTCAGAAAGTGACTTCTTAGAAAGCTGACGCAGACTCAGCTGCAACGTAAACGCTCTCAGCGTTGACTTGGACATTTGAACACATCCCGTAATGTACCTTAAACCACCACCGGGGGTATAACTTGGGGCAAACCGGCTGTCATTCTCGCCAACGGCCACCGGAATTCAAATTTCGGCCCGAAGGCGCATGCTTCCAACTTATTGGAATTTGAGCTTATAAATCCGAAAACAGAAGCATTACTTCGCTGTTTTCGGCGGTCTTTCTTTCTATCGCTCGACTTTAGTCAACAGAGCGAGGCCAGGTCGAAACCGCCGCTCAAAACGGAAAGAAACGGCTTGTTTTTCTGCTGGCGGAGGACCTTGTTGTAAGTGTTGCGCCCCAATGCGCCCGTCGCAATTTTCAAGTTGCGAAAGGTGATTATGGCAAAGCTGGTAACCAGCACTATTTATACCCCCGGTGGTGGTTTAATAACGTGACGGTGGTTATTTTGGTCAAGCCGACTCATACAGACCGTTCGATGCCCTTGGAAGCAGATTCAGACTGATCGTGAGCGTCGATCAGTATCTCAAAACTCAGACCAACGGGATGATAGACGTTCGCGCAATTCGAACGTGCCCGGAAAACCAGGAGGCTGGTGATCACTCGCCGACGTACTCGGACTCGGCGACCGCCGAGTCGGAAGTCCCCCGGGCTCAGGGGCCAGGGCGACAGTGGCGGCGACACCGTGACTGCGGCAGTCGGCCGCCGGGATATGGCACAATTTCACTCGGGAGTCGGCTGCTGCTGCTGTCGGCAGCTTCCACCATGCAGTGTGCTCGTCACTTGTCGTCAGAGCTTCCGGAACCTGGATATGTGCTCATGCACCTGTGAACGGAGCACGAGGGCCGGAACACCACACACACGATCAATGTACCGTATAGACTGCTGGACGAGAGTTCAAGAGTAGATAGTGTCAGGAGATCAGTGCTATGAGAGTTCCGGTCATGTGTGAGGACTCGCAAATGAAAATGGCGTCGGACGGAGAGCTCCGCAAGACCAATCAACACCAGCTTGTCTTGATCTTGAAGTTGTTGCTGGCAGGATCAGAGCAGGATGCTCAGAGCGCACGTGAAGCGCTTTGCTATGGGATTGAGCCAATGCTCTGCAGTGAGCTTATATTTCAGTGAAATGCCCGTAACGTCCAAGGAGTGAGTCCAAGAATTGGGCTCCCTAGAAAGAAAGGAGCTCGTTCATAATGAAGATCTGTACAAGGAAGCCCAAGCTACTACTGGGCATACAGGTGCTGATCTTAGTCTTGATTGTGGGGGGCATTCTGCTGGGCAAGAGGCTTGCAAATGAGGACCCTGGGTCATGTAGGGCTCACTTCCCCTGCCCTCTTGTTCCCCTTCTTTTTCTGAGGGTACTCGCAGCTCAGAACACTTGAAAATAGAAGAAGATTGAATAAAAAAGAGTGTTCCCCAGATGTTTAGTAGCTGCACTTCTCAAGCTGTTAATCTGTAGCTGCTGATGTGATGGTGTGATTCTTCAAGCTTCGCCATGAACCTATGTGTATACTTTAGCTTCTGATGTCGTCAGCTGCCCGCTGTGGGCTTTGAGGGGGACTCCCCGGATATGCGCTATTTGTCTAGGAGCTGATCCTTAGGAATCTGGACAGGCAGAGTGGGGTTGAACCAAGCAGTCGGGTTTCTTTGTAGATTTCAAACAATTTGTCATCTTTGATGAAGGAAATGCTTCTTGTGGTGACAGGAAACTTGATAATAAGAGTTCAACTCAATGTAGCAAAGTATCACCTTATCCAGGGGAACTGAATGTTGACACTGTAGAAATGATAGGGACTCCCCCAGGTCTGGTGTCTGGATAGAGTGAGCCAAAAACTCACGCGCTGGTCTTTTCGTGTCTTCCGACTCATGCTGGCAGCACATCAGATTGCTTGTCACATCATCTAGGAGACAGCATAACATTTTGGCATGTGGCGAATGCATTGCGTGCAATCCTAGTTGGGCGCTGAATGCCCACCTCTGCTTCGATGATTTCCGAACCGCTTGAATGTCTTGTACGAGGCCCGCTTGCTGAATGGAGTGCTTGCAAATGCATGCTTCATTTGATTGAGCTGCTGACGGGAGCGAGGGGGGAAACAAGTCATGCTCGTTAGGGCTTGCAACAAACGACTGTACTTGGTATTTCCACCTAACATCTGTGAATCTTCAAGCTCAAAACATTGGGTTTCCGCACAGAAAAAACTGCCAAGACTTATCTGCATATGGAGCATTTATACATTATTGACCATTTCTTTCACACACAGGTGCAAGTGCCAATCATGCATGAGCTGAACCAGATTTCTCCAACCGGCACTCCACAACCATTTCTCTGACATCTGTTTTTGTTCTGTTCCAGTGATGATGTCAGGAGAGTGCGGGTCATGGCAGCTGTTCCAGGGGTGGGGACAAGCATCCCTGTGCAATGGACGTGTGGGAAAAGCAGACTGGACAAGAATGGAGTTGAGTTTTGGGTTAAGCCCCAAGCCAAGCCAGGAGTCAAGTAACGCTGACACACCTCTCTTGAAGGGCAAGGCAGCGAGCCAGGACAAAGAAGAGTCAAAAGGAGGGTCCGTCTCTGACAGAGTAAAGCGAAGCGCAGAGATGATGGGGATCAATGCAACAAGTTCTGTTCAATCCACACCAAGTAGTGGGGAGCATTCTGAAGAACAAGCAGGGCAAGGAGACCAGGGGGGTCCTGCCGGAGGAAGGAGCGAGGGGGAAGGGAAGGAGCCCACTCAGGGGGATCCCTCTAGCCAGGGGGGTATGCCGGAAGAGCTTAGCAAAACCCCCCAGAAAGAAGCCAGTGGCAGTATTGGGTTGCCAAGTGAGTCCAACAAAACACTTGAAGAAAAAGGGGCCAGCAGCGAGGGGCAACAAAAGCACTACGGTGGAGCCCCCACAAAAGAGGGCCCCAGCGAGGGGGGCACAGAAACGAAGCCCAGACAAACCCCCAAAGATGAAGAGGTCCCTAGCGGTGCAGATGCGGAAACGACGCCTAAACAAACCCCCAAGAAAGAAGAGGCCCCGAAGAAGGAAAGCACCCACGAGTCTGTGACAAATGATCTCACTTTTGAGGAGGCCCCCAAAGAGGAGTTTGGGTGCGACAGGAGCTCCTGGATGACGGACGTTTGTCGGCTGAACGGGACGGTCCGAATCCAGACCGGTTCCACTGTGGTGGAAGTGTACACGCATAGGGAAGAGCCGCTGGGCCCGTCGATGCGCGTCCGGCCGCAACCGAGAAAGTACGATGCGGACATGATGGCTGCTCGGATCACGGAGTACGAGTTGGTATCAAAGAATATGCAAGTGAGTTGCGCCACTTGAGACATTTGACATAATTGGAGTTTGCCTTATTCTGGGTGCTGCGCAACAAGCCGTTCTTTTTCATCGTGCTGATCTTATAAATGCGAACATGATGCCTGCCCGATCAAAGAGTACGAGATGACTTTCAGGACCGTGCAAGCGAGTTGCTGTGATATAATGGAAATGTTAAGGGGAAGATCTTTTTGGTGCTGCGCTGCTTACACTTGTCAAGCCTCACGTTTTGACTGCGCTGTTTTCTGGATATTGACATGTTGACTGCGCGCATTTCGGAGTTCGAGCTGGTGTCCAAGAGCGCGCAAGTGAGATTGCTGAGACCTGGGTAAAGTTGGGAGTTAGGAAATTAAGGTTAGGAAATTGCGTATACCTGTTGTGCTGTTCATTTCAAGTGCGCTCTTCTTTTCGGTGCGGACGTAATGGCCATCCGTATTAGGTGTTTGAGCTGGTGTGGAAGAACGTGCAAGTGGGTGCATACGCAGGTCCACCGACTGGAGCAATCATCTTGAGTAGGTCATACAAACTGCACAATAAATCCACGCAAGCCTCTCCGAAAGCAAATCATCAGTGACACAATAAGCATCTCGGAGTTCGGCCATAAAACGTAACAAGTTCAGAAGAACGATGCCAACTTAGAAACTGCTTACGCTCCACAATCCTGAGTGATAGTCATCCTTACGACTCTCTCGACCCTTAACGAGCATCATCTCCATCTTAGGAGCTTGAGCCACGTGGCAGCCCCCAGTGCGACCACGTGTCCGACGTCCCCGGCATCGTCTTCTCCACGGGGGGGTGGACCGGCAACGCTTTCCACGAGTTTACCGATGTTCTGATCCCCCTGTTCGTATCTACCGAGCGATATCACCGCAAAGTTCGGCTCTTCGTTTCTGACGCCCCTGAACCGTGGCTTCGGAAATACCAGCGGTTTCTGGAGATCTTCACCGAGTTCCCGCTGGTGAACCTGGGGGAAGGCGGGGTTAGCTGGTGTTTAGAGCGGTTAACAGTGGGGTTAGAGATACATGGGTATTTGACCGTCGACCCGGAGCGGATGCCGGGGGGTGTACGGTTGGCTCGTATGAGCGAGATGTTTGCGCAGCATCTGGGGATGGTTAGCAATAACCGGGTCGATAATAACCGGGTCAAGGATACGCCGGTCGAGGGGAATCAGGTCAACGGCAGCCCGATTGAGAATGGTGAGTTGCGAGGTGAAGCGGACGCACAAGACTCCTCGCAGGAGGCGGCTACTAGGATTAACAAAACGGGTTTGAGCGGGCAAAGGAAGCTGCGGATGGGGATTGTGCGAAGGAACGGTTCCGGTCGGGTTATCGAAAACCACGACCGGGTTGCGCAGATTGCGGAGGAGGAGGGGTTCCAAGTGGAGGAGCTGTCGTTCTCGTACGAGTCGCCCAGCTTAGAAGTGAGGCTTTCCTTGTTTCATCTGCTCGAATTTTCTCTTACTCCGTTTGTTCGAAACTCTCTCTTAGATCATTGGTTTACTCTTTCCTTTCATTCCGTTTGCTCCCAATTCCCTTGATCCCTTCGCTCCACCTTCCTTCTTGTTGATCTTGCTTCATCTACCCTTTGGATTCGTTTGCTTCATCTGCTCTCGCAGATAACTGGCTCCACCTTTGCTTGCTTCCCTTCTCCATCTAAAGCTCTGTCACGGAATCCGTCAGTGTTCAACGGACCTTCACTTTACGCCACTCGACCATCCTTTGTCTTTACAAGGGCCCTTAAGCAGATATTTATCTAGATGGCTGTCACGATAGTCCGGCATTTACTGGTCCCTTCTCCTTTCTCTTGAACCAGCAAGAAGGCGAGGTTCTTAGTATCTTGTTTGGAGGGTCCGCTTGTTACAAATTCGTTCCCGCAGCTTCATTTCAAGAGCGCTCAATTCTCAAGACTTCGCTTCTTACATCAACCAAAGAGGATCGTATCAGAGACATTCGATGTAGCGTTGCAAACATACTAGAGGCCGCAGCTGCTATCCCCTGTCTGCGAAGTCCAGCAGACTGCCTTTCAAACCGGATTTAAACCGGGACTTTGTTCAATTCAAGCGGACGCTTCTTTCAACCGACCTTCGGCTCAAATCCAAACTTTAGGAACGCACCGCTCAATTCGCTTACCTTGTTTTGGAGCCTCCACGCTGCGCCTACCCAAGCGTCCGAACTTTTGCAGGAGGTGTTTCGGACGATGCAGGGTTTGGCGTCCGGATGGGCGTGCACGATCGCTGAAATCGATCTATGTGCATCCACCGCTCAAGCTGCTTCGCTCTAGTTTCCGGACCCCCAGAAGATGTGCCTAATGAAGCGTCCGAACTTTTGCAGGAGGTGTTTCGGACGGTCCAGGGTTTGGACGTCCTGATGGGCGTGCACGGCGCGGCGCTGACGTACTTCGTCTTCATGCGCCCGGGGGCCGCGCTCATCCAGGTGGGTACCGCGAGTTTGCGGTCCCGAATATTTTGAAACCGCTCTGGCTCTGGCATTAGTGAATCGGGGCGCGCGCCATGGCTTTTGTGGGTGCCCGTTCTTGCGAAAGCAAGCTTTGCCGCTTTGTTATCCCACCACCCTCCGCTCATTCCTTTCTGGAACGTTTGTGCCCCTGTTTCTACGTGCAAATCACGACGGGTCTCCTCTTTGTTCAATGCGCATCAGAACTCTCCTCGAACCTTTATTTATTTTGTGTGTTGTTTCTTCATTTGAAGGAGGCGTGTTAACTGTGTGAGCACGCGGCGACCGTACAAACGGATGCTGAACTTGAAAGTCGCCCCGACGTGGATAGACTCTTGCCTCTTGTTCCTTGGCGGGAGCAAGCTGGCCGTCTCACGGTCGCTCTCTGACTCCATTTGAGACAGGGTTGTGCATACACCCTCTTGAAGCACGCCACGCTTCTCCATAGTCTCCTCAGATTGCCTCGCTCGATTCTCGACTCAACGCCACGTGTCATCTTCCGGACGCAGGTGGTCCCCTGGGGCGTCCGGCGCGTTGCCGAGGTGTACGACGGAATGCCGGCACGTGAACACGGGCTACACTACATAGCGTATGAGATCGAGGCTGCGGAGAGCAGCCTCCTAGATAAGTACGCGTTGGACGACCCGGTTATGGCGGACACCGGGAGCGTATGGAGGGGCGGGTGGGCGGACGGGGACCGGTTATATCTGCGCGAGCAGAACGTACGGCTGAAGGAAGAACGAGTGCGGGGGGTTTTCCGGGAGGCTCGGCAGACGTTGCTCGGGCATGGCGGCGTTACTGAGACGGTGGATCGACTTTAACCGTTTTCGCTAGCGAGTCTAAGCTGGTGTTGGGTTGATCTTGACCTATCTTGCTCGAGGGATTATGAGAGTACGGCTATATATGACGGCGTTGATGTTTACCGTTGGGTTACAGTAAGGGTTACAGTACTGGTTACACTGGACTGACTGCGGTTTGAGTGACCTAACGTGCGGTATTTTTGCTCTCGATCTTTCTTGATGATTCTAGCGAACTTGCGACACAACCGCTGGAATCAGATAGATAGATAGAGGAGCCTCTTGTATAATATGTTTGTACATTAAGGAGACAACTAAGGAAGTGGTCGTCCGATCCATTGACGGTAGAGGTGCTTGCATTAGCTTATCCCGTGTTCAGGTGGCCGAGTTTGATGTGAGTTGTGTTGGAAAGACGAGTATAGCCGCGCCGGCTCGACGATACTAGTCTAACGATTGTGTCTGCATCGCCGAGTCGGTTCTGATTCTGATCCGTTTTTAGTTCAAGGATAAAACGGCCAACATGCATGGCGCTGCGGCGAGCTGCTGGTCATGGCGATCGTGTACATGTGCTGCATGGTTCTACCTATATGGTTATCCAATCTTCAAAAGCAAGACATTGCGTACTTGTAGAGCATATATATAGGCATCAAGTCAGGCGGCCGCTCTTCTGTCTCAGTCTGCATGTGCGATGCCCTCATGTGACGTGCAATTGTAATTGCACAACAATTAGATTATGATGCGATGAGATCTTGTACATTCATATACGGTAAGTTGATCTCGAACTTGCGTGCAAAAATAGCATGCTCGCAGACGGGTCATTATCGTACGCATGCTAGCTCGCGATGCCCTTATCTGATCGACAAGCTGCATGTACAATGGAAGAGGAGCCTGGGCATAGAATCATCGTACTTGCAAGCTCATAGAGGGCCGCATATCGGTTACTGCCGCAGACAAGCACTCTTTTCGTTAACGGGTCGCGCCAGCGGATGCCTTTTCAGGACACAAAAAGGTCTTCATTTCGTGGACGAAGCGCGTCATATCTTACTGAGGCTCGAAGGATTTCTGAAAAGCGAGCGCAATCGAGTGAGTCAATGGAAGCCCCGCGGCGCGGTCCCGCGACAACCGAGATCTGCCTCTGCCGCTTACGGTGGCAGAATGAGGACCGCTGACGGGTCCAGATACAACCGACCATCCGAACGAGCTAAGATTGCGCTTTGTACGCTACTCTAGGCTCCACAATTTTTGAATCGTTTCCATGTGCAAACACAGGCTCCTCCTTTGTAGCCTTCATAACTGACCTCTCTACAAAGCTTTTCTTGCTGATGTCAACGGCCGGGTCGTCCTTCCACAGCTGCTCGGGTATGTCCTCCGAGGCAGAGCTCAGAGATTCCGCGCTGTGATATTGCGCCCGCGGAACTTCCGGGCGCTCGACCGAGCGGCTTCCGGTCACGACCACGCCTTTGTCATCATAAGCTGTCCCCCTTTCGGAATCGTGTTCTTTGCGGCCTCCGTTCAGTCGGGTGCCAGGAATCTCGACGCTCTCGTCTGCCGCCTTCAGCCCCACCTCACGGCCACTGGGTCTGATGCTTTCAGCAGCGTTTGCTTTTCGGTCTTTTGTCGCCCAGGTGTCAGAATTCTCGCCGCTCTCGTTCACCGCCTTCAGCCCGAAAAGTCTGACGCTTTCAGCACTCTGCTGGGCTCCCGGGGCAAAGCCCCGAGCGCTTCGATCTTTCGCGGCAGTGTCAGCATCTGTCATTCGCTGCGGGGGGTTCGCGGCCTGGCGGCTTTCTGTTGCTCCGACTTTGGAGTGTCCTTTTCGAGGAGCAGCATCCTGATCCGAGCCCCGACTCTGTTCAGTGCTCCCAGACGTCACTCGCTCGTAGGGGGCAGGATCCTGACGCAAGTTGCGGTTTTCGTTAACCCCCGCGAGGAAGTCTTGACGCGCTATCGGGGTCGCTTCTTGCTGGGAATTAGGATTTCTATTGCTCCCGACAACAAGTCGCTCGTCTATCGGCGCAAGATTTTGACCCGAACCACGGGCCCCCAATGCGACTGCTCCCTTCGGTTCCACAGATGTCTGGACGGAGGCACTGCTCTCATCTCCCCCGGTCCTACTTTCCGGCCCCTCCGGAGCCGTCCCCCGGTCATCAGCCGTCTCCCGAGCAGCCGTGCCCCTCGGGGTTTGGACCGCCCGGCTTAGATAACCGACGACGCCCGCAGCCGTGGCGCCCACTTTCGCCTTGCGCCACGCGAGGAAGTCGCCGTACTTGGGCCGGCGCGTAATGTCGCCGCGCGCGGCGGGCCACTCGCGCGCGCGCAGCTCCTCGATGATCAGCGTCTTGGCCAGCTGGGCGAAGGGTCCGTGGTCTACGTCTCTGGTAAAGAAAGGGAACCGCACAATGAGAGAATGGTTTGACAAAAGACCTTTTTTTGGCCGTGCGATTTGGCCGTGAAGCTTTTCTGACAGGTTTTCAAAAGCGCGAGGACTGAGACCTTTCGTGGTCTAATCGACGAGCCAAGCCTCCCGACAAAGAGACCTTCCTTCGATTCAATGCATTGAGAAACAACTTCTGAAATATTCCACTGTGGAAAAAGTTCAGCATTCTCACTTAAGCAGTTCGGCTTACAGACATAGCAGCTGGGAAGGAAAGAAGTTGGATCCAGATTGCCCTGTAGTTGCAGCACCAGCCGATTCGAGGGGACGAGTCAACATAAACAAGCTTTATACTGTTGTCTTCCCAAAGATCTTACCTCGTTTCGCTGATGAGCTTCTCGTACTCGACGTCACTGATTCGCGCCGCCTTACGGCTGTTCTGCGGGTCCAGGTACCAACTGGGATGCACCGACAGCGGCGGCTGCTCCGCATCCAGTGCCGCGCGCGCAGCGCGCTCGCGCGCTTCGTCGAAGGCGTCCCCGAAGCGCTCCTTCAGGACTTGGATTACTTGGCCACGTGGCAGCCTGCAGATCGCACGATTTGCTGTGAGTGCTGCAGCTCAAGTCGTCAGGACTGACGTTATGCTTCGAAGATCTGGACAGTATAGAAATTTGTCCGTTCAGTCATGTGGAAAGAGTTTGAGCTCTTTTTCAGTCCGTTCAGAATGCTGTGGGGCTTTGCTGCGGAAAGCGGGTCGCTGTCTGCAAAGAATTACAGAACTTGCGAGCATTCGTGGAGAAGGATACATCGGTACTCTTTGGGTACTGTTGGTTTTGGAACGTCCTGATCAATCTCTTTGCTGATCCATATCAATCTCGTTCTTGCTTGATGAGGCACACAAAGTTCTCACACGCTCAGGCGTCAAAGCCCTTCCTCAAAAATATAAGTCTGTGCATCTTCCTTCCAGATTTGCATTGCCTGCTCGCATCGATTATCAAAGTTGTAAGTTAGCCCGTCAACCCTGACAGTTCTACCAAACGTCTCACTTGTTTCTGCTGTCGGTGTCCGCAGCCCGCAGCAGTCCGCGGAGCGCCTCTAGCTCCTCCATGTAGGCGAAGAGCGCCGGGCTCGGGAGCTCGTCCGTCAGGATCTGGCATGCAAAGAACTGGATTACGAATTTGCACAGACCTCCAAAAGTGTCACAGAATTCGATTCGGCTGGACAACTTATCGACACGTCTACTTGTGCATACTACAAGGACGGTGTAGTTCGAGAACTTTCCGGCTGAAGATTGCGACGTTATCAGGAAGGTGCATGCCCCAACTTTCTCTGAGCTCTCCCGAGAGCTGCAGCGAATCCCTCCAGGGACCACGTTAAAACTATATGGCGGGGCGCTTTGTAAGAGGCCGTCGAAGACATCATCAGCGGTCACCTTTTAGTGGTAATTCACACCCCCGGGCGGTTTCAGAGACGGGGGAGCTCGTCTTTCGGCGACAGCCCAGCAGAGGCGCGCGCTGTGCTGTCGCTTTGTGACGTCATGCAGATGCGTCTGGATAAGGCGGGCGGGGGCCTTACCCGGCAGAAGATGTCGACGTCCGCGTGCTCCTTTCCAAACCGTAGCAGGCCGTAATACATGTTGTACGCTACGCCCGCTACCAGCTTTGGGGGCCCGTACCTAGAACCAGGTACTTGCTTCTGTTCCAATGCAGGCTCTCTCATGAAGTTTCGTTGCGACAAGTCAAGAAGCCGTGTCGCAAAAGAACGGTTGATAGGGGCTCTGGATGCTTGATTGAGTGTTCTATAGTGACTCTTGCATAACCACGGAGGCGTCCTGCAATATATTCCTCAACGCTCTCGCGAAAAACCGCAGCAATCCACCTGACCCTAACACATTCAAACGAAGACGTATATTTTGAATGTACGGGTGCGTAGCTCAGTTGGCAGAGCATTGGGCTTTTAACGTAATGGTCGCAGGTTCGAGCCCGGCGATTCCTGCAATGGTTTCGCGAAACGCAAGCCTGTTTTCTGAGGGCTCCTTAGAGGCCGGGAGCTCAAAAGGTCGCAACAAAAACGTGACTTTCCGGAGGTGACTTCGGAGGTGGGAACCCAACAAGAGAGCCACCGGCGCCTAACTCTGGCTTTTGATCACTTCGGTCGACCATAGAACTCAACCGCACTGAGATGACGCCGTCCGAAAGGAAAAGCAGAATCGATGCATGTGCTTGCTCACGTGGTTTTCATGCACTCGTGGAAGGCCAGGCTGAGGCCCCCGTGGCGCGGCTCGCGCTTCACGGGCGTCGGAACGCCGTTGATCTCGATGATCAACGGCGGGGGATATTTGTAGTCCCACACGTGGTGGCAGAACCCCAGGACGAAGCGCTTGGAGAGCTTCCGGTTTACGATCTTGCCTGCGGTTACAGCGGGAGGTTTGGGAATGGGTTCGGAAAACGGGGTTGGATTTGTCAACATTTCGTTGTTGAACTGTCACGGGAAACGGCCTGAGAATCTTCAACAATTTCCTGTTGCGAGGAAATCGGGCCTGAGTGTTGGTAATGCTGAAGCGCGTGACTGGGTCGATTACCCTTCCTTTGCTGATCTGGTTTCCTGTAATTTTTGTATCTTTCTATTAGACAACATCCATTTGAGACAGAAAGGTGGCTTTCGTCGTTGGAATGGCCCTGACAGTGTCCGACTTTTCAAAGTTTGCCCAGCGACGAAATTTTATTAGGCTGACAAGCAGCGCTTTGTTGCGGAGCGGCCAAAATCCGCCTTCTTACAGCCCCCATGGTTTCTGGGGCTTCAAGTCTGGAGCTCGCCGCTTCTCCCACTGACCTTCGTAACGGAGCCACTCCGGAACGGACGGATCGTTCCCGCGGCCCTCCCACTCGGGCAGATCGAGCTGCCGATCTAGTTCCTCGTCCCCGACCCCGTGGTCGCAGCCCCACAGCTTGCTGCAGCCCCGCGCCCAGCACGAGAGCGTCATCCCGGGGAAGTGCCCCGAGTGCGACCATTGGCGGCTGACCCTGGAAAAAGGTGACAATTACACGTCAGAAGCGTGCGGGACAGGGGCCAGGCGGCATATTCCGGCAAGATATGATTTTTACAGAACCGGTTTCAAGTCCCACAGCTTGCTGCACCGGCGCGCCCAGTACGAGAGCGTCATCCCGGGGAAGTGCCCCGAGTGCGACCACTGGCGGCTGACCCTGGAAAAAGGTGACAATACACGTCAGCAACGTAAGCGAGACATCCCGCAATTGAAGGAAACGCGACGGCAGCAGCGCACCGGGTAGGATAGTGGCGGCTCAGCTCCGGACAAAGCCACGGTTTGTCTTTTAGTACCTTAAACAGAGTGTGCCCCGTCAGACATTACGTGAAGCTGGACAAGCGTGGACGGAACTGTGCCTGTTTGTTAAGTTGAAAGATCTAAGAATGGCAGCTTCGATCTGCCTCGGATAAAAAGATTGGGGAGCTGATCAGGTCCACCTCCAGTTACTGCCGTCTTATGGCATTCAAACAGCGTCACGCTCATGTAATTTAGTCCCAAAAACCCCACCACCGGTTGGTACCCGAGCGTCTCTCAAGGATTGGATCGACGCCGAAATTTACTTTGTTGTCTGAAGGTCCAGCCCGTGTCGCCGCTTGTAGTTGTTCTGGTCGTTAGAAAGGAGCGCCGGGTGCAGCCCAGACTTGGGTGACGTGGCGCCCTTGTGGGGCAGCCCGTTGCGCACCGCGTTCGCCTGCAAGCAAGGATGGGTCCAAACGACAGATGTTGGCATTGACGTCTCTCTTCTTTTAGATCTTCATTCAGGGACGAGTATTCTGTATGCAGGCCCTTCTTATGCATGCGCAACAGCTTTTGCGTACCATAAGCCAGACGACCCACTTTGTTTAAGCTGAGAAAATTCGCGTCTTTTCTCGATAGAAGGTCCGTGCAAAAGAGCCGCGCACGTAAGAGACAAGAATTCTCAAATGCAGCCGCTTATGTCTGTGCGTCGAGCAAGCTCCCTGGCGAGGTGATTAATCTGCAAGCGGGCTGCAGACTCCGGTTTTCGGATCAGCCTCCGACTAAGCTGCCTGGTATAACGTCGAACGCAAAGAATGAATACGAATACGACGCATCAAGCGAGGAATCCATTGAAAGGCAAGGAAGAGCTAAGATACATCCATCATGTAATTGAGTGAAACAAGTGAACGGGGAACGATGTTTTGCAACATCCATCCTATTGGAGGAGTTACTGCGGATGCTTTTCTCGGGCATACGTACCTCAAGCAACAGTACGCAGAACTCACGCAGAAGTTCTCCATGCAGACTAGCAGCTGCTTGATGAAGCTTCGCATTTACCACGATGAGAACCCAAGCGCATGACGCAGCTGGAGTCCTGTCGTTCTGAAGCAAAAGCTCGCTTGCATAGTCAAAGAGACTCGTACCTGTTTAACAATTCTCACGGCTCTGACAAAGGCAAGAACGTTTACCTGAGCCTCCGCCGCCGCTTGGGCTGCCGCTGCTTGCATCACCGTCAGCCGCACGCTCCCACCTCTGTTTCTGCTGACGTCAGCAGTGCGGGGCCTACCGTTCTGGCTGCTACTGGGGCCCTGCCAATCGAACCACCGCGCGGCGCTCTTGTCGTCGGCAGTCCTTTTGCCGGCTCCGGAAGTGGGCCGTTCACTGGGAGTCCGGCCCATGTTTCTTTGTATGTAGCTGCGTAGAGGGCTTCCACCGGCCTCAAATGAAGTGCGAATCAGAGCTCTGACGTCAGCGGGCAATTGACGTTCAAATTCGGTCGCAAGTGAGATTCTCACTTTTGAAGCCCGTCCACTGCCGAGAACTTGATGGTGGCGAGTAGATTCAAAAGCGGAATGACAGTTCAGCGCCTTGCTACGTATCGTCCAGATACATACTGTTTGAGGAACTGGAGGCGGTACAGGCTAATCTTCGAAACGATTACGGAAGGCCGCTTCGTCGTTTCCAGTAGCTCCACACCGGATCAGTAGCTTCGTCAAGCTCCTGCTGGCTTTGGCGCTACTCGAGTACCCCGTGGCAGTGGTTTCAGACGTCCTTTGCTGCACTGCATGGATAGCAAACGTGTGGAAGCAAAATAATCTCCTGAAACGTGCTACGACTTTGCTTGGGTGCCAAAGAAGTTTGACATTGTAGAACACTTGCTGGGGTAGGCTGCCTCTGATGAGTAATTAAAACTCATGCCACCATGTTGTGACCTCAAACTTGCGCCTGCAACACGTGGGACGCGAGATTGTATCTCAACTGAAAGTCGTCTCCTACCCCCTTGGCTAGAGTCATCTGCATTGCCTGCTTCAATTCATATCGTCACAAGCAATGACGGTGTCGCCTGCAAGCGGGCTCTTCTAGAAACGAACAAGACGGCATTAAGTCGAGGACACCCGCATGATACTGCTGCTCTCATCATGCATACGAAGCTACACACAGGCAAGTGCTAGGACATGCCGGCAAGAAAGGCTGCTGGCTGCATCCGTCGGACCATCGTCGAGAGAGAAGAAAACGTAGACCTGATGGTTCCGTCGCTTCAACCCAGTAGTCAATTGACTTGGTTGACTCCATCAAACAGACATGGCAATCATTCAATCATTGATTGCTCTGGAGTTTTAATTGCAACTAGATATTTAGAGTCGTGAACATTGTAGACGGATGAATCAGCATAATCACGTACTACAGCTGTAAGTCCGTATTGCCCGCGGGCCAGCGCCATGGCGGCCTGTCGGAGCCGCCACCCTCGCCTTCGCGGCCGAAGTGGCGGCCGGGCAGGCCGCCCGCCGGCACAGTAAGAATGACCAAGCTTATGGGACGGACCTTCCGACCGTTGTTCTGCCTTGGCTCCAGAGTGCGGCCGCGGTTGGCCGGCCGCACCAATACGATGCTTTACCTGCAAACATTACAATCCAGCCGTCGATCAATAATCGGGGTATAGAGGGCCGTTCGATAAAGTAACTTCCTGGCGCGCGCGAAGCTTCTGTAGATTCCAACTTGACCGTAATATCTGGGCGAAACCTGGCAGGTACTCTTCCAATGTTTGGACTAGGTACCGGAGTCTACCGGTACTGTTTACATAAGGTGAAGTATTCACTACAATCTGTTCCCAGTCCCTCTTTCAGAGGCAGATGCATGCTGATCAGTTCCCAAGAAGTGTCTATAGAAACGTGTCAACTGGGCACCAGGCAAATGCATTGCTTTGGTGTTCTCGTCATCTTGACACTGCTGCTCCAAGCCAGCCGGCAGCAGCTTTCAACGGTCGGTGTACCTGCCCTTGTAGCGCGTGACGCAAGGAAGATGAGGCAGTCCAGAAAGTTGTACTGTTTGAGAGCGGTCTTCGCTGCTCACTTTAAGTTTTAGGTACATAGGACGTAGCACTGGCTATCTGATCAAAAGTTGAGGCTGCTGCTCGGTACACAGAATCAAAGTACCTAGCTAGGTACTCCATTCTGCAGCTCCATCTGCTCACTCTACCTATTCATTGCTGATTGGAAGAAATCAGGCAGTGCAAGCGCAATCAGCTGGCGGTATCCACTTGTAATGATAACCAGCACGCAGCAATTCTGCTCAGCTGCTTCACTTGCACAGGAAGGGAGGAGAGCAAAGAGCTGTGAGGCGAAAGCGTTTGCTGCAGCTTGGAGAGAAGATTGAAGAAGTGTCCAGCGTTTGTTGGCTTCTGTCTTGCACCGCAGTGCATGGAGGGCTGACTGGTTGACAGACCATAAGGTGAGCTTGATCAGAAATTTTCACATGCTTGGAGCAATCCTGAAGTGGCTGTCTCTTTTTTACTATTCTCCAGGCACTAATATCATTCCAGAAGCATGTCCAGCATCTTATATGTGGAATTAAGCTGCTTCAGAAGTGCACAAAGCCCTGGTCACAAGGTAACGTACACCACACTGGCAGAAGAGTTGTTTGCTGTTACATACCTATGCGCAGTGCCTAACTCTCAATACAGGCAAAGGTTTCAAGCTCAAGAAACCAACAGCTGTGTGCTGATCTTTTGCGGCTTCTGAAGTTTGCTGACATCATGCTCATGCAGGTGTCGCTGGGAGGCCAGCACGCACCATGGGGCACGGAGGGGGCGGGGACGACTTCAGGGAGCCAGTCCTAATTGTGGCAGGATGGAATGTCCCCCCCATGCTGGCGCACTTGGCGCCTGTCCTAAAATGCTCAGAGGATGTTGCTGAGCAAAGGCCGCGTGTTGCATATCTATGTGAGTTTGAGAAGCTCAAAAGTCCAAAACACCTGTCGCATCTATGATGACGGGAAGTTCTAGCGGGAGGGTTTTCATGCTGGTTAGCAAAAGTGGTTGAGAGATGTGGGAGCAACGGAACCTTTGCGTGCTTTCAGCCATGAAAAGGTGGCGAAAGTTAGGACAGGCTCATCAGATATGACTTGTTCGTCAGTCAGCACTTTGCAAGCAATTGTTGTTGTAGCAGATCTGAGCTCTGATTTGACTGCATTTGCATACCTGCAGGCCGGAGGCACGCTCTGCGGGAAGCAGAGAAAGCAGATCCAGCTAATATTGAAAGAGGTGTTGTCCAATTCAAACAGACGCTAAAAAACAGATGCGATGAGGATGAGGGGTCCACATTGGAGGCAAGAGTTAGGAACTCAGATAAGGGGGAGCTGGAGCACTTCATCATGGAGTATGCAGAGCTCTGCAACCTTCATGCTGACGGACTTCAGCAGCATTCAGCAAAGGACAGGTGCACGCTACAATGCTTGTTTTTGCAGCTTCTGGTTGAAAGTCTGGCTTTCTGGCACCATTTCTGTACCACTTAGAAGCATTTTCCTCGATGCTCCTTCGCAAGCTGCTTTTGGTCAGCAGCAGACAAAGATGCTCTCAGGTAACAACTCATGTAGCAGGTCCCTTTGAAAGGCTGTGAATGTACTTGCGCTGTAGCAGCCCAAGCAGGCGCATGAGCTGCTCAGCATTTGTGCTTGGAAAGTTGACAGTCCAATCTCTGCAGGGCTCAACTCCGTGAGTTGCATGGCACCACAAGTGTGCTCTTTGAGGTGCTCACGTCTGTTGCGGAAGAAGTTGGGCAGAGGGTCCCTTCAGAGGTAAGACCGCACATCCTCAAAAGGCCACACCCTCTCTATTGAGGATGATTCTGTTTCTTGTTGCCCCTTTGACATGGTTGCAGTCAGAGAGCACGCTATGCAATGACGCTTGAACAACACACCACTTTAAACGCGTTGGTATCTTTTTTCCAGATTGTCGAGATGGGACACAAGATTGCTGCCCGGGACCCCAGCCTTCGACCGTTCAACATCCTCCCCTTGGATCCGCTTGCACCAGGATCGCAGGAGACTTTCAAAATGTTGCCTGAGGTGAGCTGACCAGCCTCATGGCGCAAGATACACGCAGGAAAACAGGACTGTGCAGTTGACACCACCAAGCTTCCAATTCAGCTAGCCATGCGAGAACGAGAGTCAATTATGTCAACCAGCCTTGCCAAATCCTGGAGAGGCTTGCTTATCTCATATCCTGACAGCTTGCTCTTTGTACCCTCTTCAGATCAAGGCGGCAATGCTGGCCCTCCGGAACACGAATGGCATGCAGTACCCGGGGGCGGTGGAGAGCAAGCTCAACTCGGAGTGGGATCACTTCGACTTTCTGCAAGCGTTGTTTGGCTTCCAGGTGACATTTCAAGCCTCTTTGACCTTGTCTCAAGCACAAGCTTTGCCAGCCCTTAGCATCCTCCTTACACTTTAACTGGATATGTTGCTTGATTGTCAAGAGATCTTGCTGATGATGTGGGCCAAGAAGCATTTCTTTTACCAGCATGTTGACGCTTCTAGTTGCTTGCTTTTGCAGATTGATAACATCAGGAACCAGCGGGAGGCCGTCATCCTGCAGCTAGCCGCTGCGCACCTCAGGTTGAAAGACGGCCCAAAGACCCAGTCGGAGGTAAGCTCCTTTTGTAAAGCTGACTGGAGTCCTCCAAAAAGTCTTCACTACCAAGCTGTCTTGCCTCACTGTGGGATCTGGTCCAGGCTTTTGCTCTGACTTCTTGGCTTTCAGCGTCTGCCCTTAAGTCACCTCTGCACTTATGGTGCTCCGTTTCTCACTCGAAGCCGCTTTGTCTTTTCTGCGAAACCTTTGCACCATATCGCTGGCGCAATCCAAGTTCCACCAGAAGGTTGCCTGTCATGCAACGAGCTTTCTCCAAGTACAACCAGCTTCCTCCCACAGCATCGCCGTCCTGTTTCAGCGTGTACAAATGCCGTTGGCGTCAGTGTCACAGTACATAAAAGTCCTCGTACTAGCCTAGAAATTGAAGATCCGCACGATTCTTTTTCCAGCTGGACCCCCTTGCCATCATCCAAGTTGCGGACCGAGTATTCGAGAACTACCGGGGCTGGTGCAAGTACCACACAAAGAAGCCGAGCGTGCCCCCCTCGACGCCAGAGAATGCGCAGCTGCTGACGGTGCAGATCGCGCTCTGGCTCTCCATCTGGGGGGAGGCGGCCAACATCCGCTTCATGCCTGAGTGCCTCGCCTACATTTTCCACTTCGTGAGTATCCTTTCAAGACTTTCTCACTCCTCAGAGAATCCTTCCCTGTCAAAGAATCCTTCCTCTGACAGTGTCCGTCTGAGCAGACCTTTGAAAGGTGGCTTGGTCGTTGAGCTGCGGCTTTTGCAAAAGTATTCGAGCTGCGCAAACGGCTGCAACGATCTGCAGAACCTAGGCTTCGAGCGCAAAGGTTTGTCTCTATTTGATTTAGAGGTTTCCTGAAGCCCACCACTAGGCTCGCCAGAACTTCCCCGCATTGACAGTATTTCAATCTCTGCAGCTGGCGGCAGAGTGCGCTGAGGTGGTAAAGGGCACGAAGAAACCCGACGCGAACGTCAGCCGCGTGTTCCTGCGTGACGTCATCCAGCCGCTGTACGACATCGTGCGGGCGTCAGCGCTCAAGAACAGCGCCGGCCACTGCCCCAACGAGAACTGGAACAACTACGACGACTTCAACGAGTTCTTCTGGACGTCCCAGTGCTTCAAGCTGGGCTGGCCCTTGGTGGAACCCAAGGCAGCCTTTGAGAGCCAGGACGTGAGTCCGTCAGCATACGTCATCTTGAGATTGCAACAAGAACCCGCTTTCTTTGACCAATGTTAGTCTACATTTGCCGTGTTCAAGAAAGGCAAGCAAAACGTCCGGATTGTTTGTCTGCCGAAACGTTGTACCTGTGCTGCAAGCACCTTCCTTTGGGAAATTCTGCCCCAAGTTTGTTAAACTTGTGCTCAAAGCACCTTCCTTCGGGAAAATTTTGCCCCAAGTGTCCAGCCTGTCCAAGCTGAAAGAGTTTCTCACATGCTTTGATCGCTTCGGCAGAAAAGCTTGCACTCACATACTAATCCGCCCTTTTCCCTCGTGCGCAGTCCTTCTTCTCGGGCCAGATCCCGATGAGCGCGCTCCCTATCTCCGCCAAGTCGAAGAAGAAGAAGGTGGCGGACGCAGTCGAGCCCGCTGAGCTGTCCGAACTGAACGCGAAGAAGGTGGTGCCGACGCGCCTGCAGAAGGTGTACGCCAACTGCGGCAAGCAGCTGTTCATCGAGAAGCGGTCCTGGTTCCAGATCGTGAGGGTGTTTGACCGGCTGGTCATCTTCCACGTCATGGCGTTCCAGGTGAGCGGGGCGTGTACGATTGCAAGCTGACCTGATTCTCAAACCCATTCTGTTCATCTATCTTTGAGTCCACTTGCCACAGATTGGATTATCTGAGACGTCTCAAACTCAACCAAAAGTTTGAAGCGAGAGCTTGAGGCTTTTGCTCGAATACACTAGAATTTTCTCGATCTGCGAAGGAAGGCACAAACATCTCAGGAAATGAGAAGGCTGCTTGATATCAACGACTGAGCTTGACTGATGTGTGAGGACGTGAAAAGCTTGCAGCAAGGCGTCGATAGAACCATCAGAGCGGATGAGCTTTTCAAAGGAGAACCCACTGTACTCCCTACTATACACTTAGTCATGACCTTATGGCAAATTGTTTTTGTCGATGCAGGCAATGATCTTCATCGGCGTCAGGGAGTATCCCTTGGGCGACAACCGCACCATCCACAAGATCCTGACCGTCTTCATCACGGCCGCCATTTTCCGGGTCATCCAAGGTGAGGCCTAGCGCGCGGTCCCTTGGTCAATTCACAACTACAGTAGCATCAAGAAGATGACGTTCGGATCTTTGACGCAGTGCATCCGACGTTGCAGGGGCTCCTTGTCTTTGACGACTGCTGACCTCAATAAATTCCTGATATCGCTCCTGCACTCTTGCTTTCTTTCTGATGGACCTGGATTCTGAGATGTCGTTGTTGCGTTTCTGTTGCAGCCATTGGAGACATCTGGGCCCACTGGGGCATCCTCTTGAGGGTTCCCAAGACGTGGCTTCTCCGCCTGTGGCTCAAGCTCGTGGCGTCATTCGCCTGGTTGGGAGCCCTGGGCTACACCTTCATGTGAGCTCTCCTTCTTTCCCGTTTGGCGAATCCCGGACAGGAGCGTGATGTGCAAAATGCACGCAGAGAATGTCAAAGTTACTTCCTTGGCCCGAACGCTCAAGTGCTCAATCTGAAAGCCGAATGGTCGTGAGGATGGACGTTGTACTCGGACGGATGAGATCCTAGTTATCTTTCGACACTTCGGAAGGAAGTTGGTTTCCCAACGTCACAAGTTTCTCTAAGACGTTTTTACAGAATGATAAGATCATCTTTTGAGATTTCGTTCTACATCAGGAAAATGCAAACAGGTCGAAAATTGCAAACCAATCTGAAGTCAACGTGTACCCTCATGAATGCAGGAACACCAAGGATGCGGACCAGCTCAAGATGATCAACCTGTACCGCCTCGCGTGCGCCGCGTACCTCGCGCCCACTCTGCTGACGGCCGTCGTGACGCTTGCCCCCGGCATGGCGCGGCGCATGGAGAGCTCGGACAACATTTTGCTGACCGCTATCTGGTGGTGGGCCAAGGTAAGATAAATCTCGCACAAGCTCTTAAACGACAACTCAGGGCAGAGTCAGGTTGCTAATTGCATCCATTGTTTGGATTGTGCTTTAGAGTTCGGTAAATTATAAGTTGAGTATTTAGAAATGGAACGGTGGCCTGGCTGAAAAGAAGGTTTTCCTTTTTTTTACATGGTTCTGAGCAGCTCTATCTTGAGGCTCTCGTCTTCACAAAGAAGTCGGAGCGGGCGTTAGGCACGTAAGGTTCCGCAAGATTCCGCAACAATTTTGCAAAATCTGCTCGATTGTCAAGGCTGCGAATCCTTCAACTGCAATTATGGAGTTCCTCTCTAACGGTGACGTTCTTGTGCTCTGCAGCCGCGGTCCTACATCGGGCGTGGCATGCAGGAGAAGTTCAGCACGGTCTGCAAGTACGTGCTCTTCTGGCTGTGCGCCTTCACCGTCAAGTTCGCGTTCAGCTACCGTTACCAGGTGAGCGTTTCGCTTAGGCTCTATAGTTGTCTTTCAACTCCTTTCACCTCAAACGAGTCAACAGACCGGAAAGCTGTCTTGACCTCTGTACAATCCATCAAACCAGAAAGCAATTCCTGCCAGTCCTTCGAATTCCATTAGTTCTGTCAGCAAATTCCCTGGATCTGCACTTCCAAAGCAAGAAAGCTCAAACGTAAGCACAGCTGCAAAGCGTTTTCTCTCCTTTGACCTTGCTTCAGCGTCTCCTCTCTGTTGACCTTGCTTCAGCGTCCTCTTCACGCAAGCCTGGGTTTTGAGTCTCCAACAAAGCAGCCGCACGAAACCAATCTTAGCATAACCCTCAACTCCAGAAACCTTAAGGAATCAAAGCCAACTTAATTCATGAATCAAGTATCAACTCCTTGATCCAGGTGCTGCCGCTGATTCGGCAACTCGCGGCCGCTGTGGGACACGTGCATCCACTACGAGACGTGGAGCTTCTTCTCCAGTAGGACAGCAACCCGATGTCGTGTTATCTTAACCCCTAACCTCAAAACTGGTACGCATTACCAATATTCACGACCTGACACCAACTTCTTAACCCAGGTGCTGCCGCTGATCGGAAACTCGCGGCCGCTCTGGGACACGTGCATCCACTACGAGACGTGGGACATCTTCCCCGGCTGCCGGAACTACCTGGGCCACGCGGCGCTTTGGGGGCCCATCGCCCTGGTGTACTTCCTGGACATGACCGTCTGGTACTTCGTCATCTCGGCGCTGACGGGAGGCCTTGTCGGCGCGCGCGGCAGGCACCACGAGGTATGCACACTGGGTCCTCCGTTCAATATAAAGCTTCCGATATGCTGACGTTGAGATAATGCTCTCGCTGAGGAACTGTTGTTTGTAGTGGGGCGAACCTGAGAACCTATTGAATCAGCTTGCTGGGCTACCAGTACCGTCCCTGACATCTAGAAACACGGCTTGTCTGAAATTTGTATGGCTTTTACGAGGGGACCTTGTATGGATCTGCTTTCCTCTGAGCAATCAAACTCTCCGGAACCGCTGAGAAGGTCTGGCAGTTCGACAATTTCTCGTTCGTTCCTACTTCCCCTTCATCAACAAGACCATCAAGCGCACGTCTGATGATCATTCCATGCATTCCGCAGATCCGCACCTTCTCCGTGGTCCGCCAGCGCTTCAACACGCTGCCCGCTAAGCTGCAAGAGAAGCTCATCCCCAACGACCTGCTCAAGACGGCGGCCGACAACGGGCCCATGACGCCCCTCCCCCGCTTCGAGAGCCTCACCGCGGCCGCCATGTCGCAGGCGATCGACGAAGTGAACGCGGAGAGCAAGGCTGAGGGCAGCAAGGATGCGGCGGTAAGCATCAATGCTTCTTCATTTATGCGGTGGCACTTCGGAAATTCAGAGAAACGCGGGCACGAAAGAAAGCTTTTCGTGCTTGAATCCGGAGTTACGACCGCAGGGTACGTAACGCGAGGCCAAAAATTCAGGAAGGTCATATTATCTGCTTGAAGATGGATTGCGCATGCGACTTAACTGGGTATCACTCTCTTATCGCTTGCTTATCAATCTTTGGCTCCGCGACACCTAGCTAACAAAATAAGAAGGCGAAGAGCTGTACCCCTTGCGGAAACCTCGGGAAATTCTGTAGTGCTTTCGCACTTAATCTTGGGTCGTTTCCTCTGCAGGCGAAAGGAAAGAAGCGAAGAACGTCAGCGGCTTCCAAGAAGGAGACTCTGGAGGCCATCCCGGAGTCCCGCCTCAAGGTCACAGAGACGCCCCCCACCGAGTACCTCCGCTCCGCCATCTTCGCGCAAGTCTGGAATGACGTCATCTCCAGCATGCGGGAGGAGGACATCATCAGCAACCAGTAAGTCAGAAGTAGTCCTGAGCTCCCTCGTGACCAAATTCAGATGCAATCCTGGTGGGTCAGAACTTGATTCGGAAACTAAGAAGACTGTAAAAAATGAAGTGCTGCAAAGCTTTTAGGTGGTCCGTGCTAAAATCAAGCTGGTAGGCGAGCGCGTCTCTAGCTCCGCCGCCGGCATCACCACTTTTCGAGACTCGACGAAAAGCATCCAGTTTTCGAAAGCTGCCCCCAAAAGTTTGGTATTCGATGTCCCAATTGTAAACCAATCTCTCAAAGTCTTCCGAAACTCCAAACCCAGGTTTCTGACCTGAAATCGGGCAGAAGATGAAATGCTCCTTGAAATTTGACCCCGGAATTTTCTCCGCAGGGAGATGCTGATGCTCCAGGTGCCCTACGCGTCCGGCATCATGCCGGTCATCCAGTGGCCCGTGTTCCTGCTGGCCGGCAAGATCAACTCCGCGGTCCAGCACGCCGCGCACCACAAGGGCGAGGACAGAGAGCTGTGGGAGCAGCTGTCGCAGGACGAGCTCATGCGCTGCGCGGTCATCGAAGCGTACAACGCGCTGCGTATCCTGCTCAAGGCGCTCGTCTCAGGGCAGGCGGAGCTGAGGTGAGGCCCTTTTGGCTGCAAGTAATTCGAATTCTGTGCCTCTCTTTGATTCGGAGAATCGACAACGGGAATCCAAGAAGCATATGTCTGAAGAAGTTGCTGAGAGATAGATCAGTCTGTCTGATTCCTGATCGCCTTACGTTATCCTTGCAAGAAGTGCTGCTTCCGGTCACATCTGGACTACGCCGCTAGATGAGGTTCTAGAGAAAATTTCGTCCCCATGCTTCCAAATGCATCATCATGCATCTACTCTGAGTTAATCAAGCAACGACTTCCGTGCCATATTCTGAATTTTGACCCCGAAATCTCAGCCCCCTGACGACTTTTTTCCTGCGCCGCAGGGTGTTGCAAGCGCTGTTCGACATCATCGACAACTCGGTCGCGGACGGCACGTTCATGAGCACGTGCCAGACGGGCATGGTGCCCAAGCTGCTGCACAAGGTGGTCGAGCTGGTGAAGCTTATCTCGGGCCCCGCGAAGCACGACAAGCAGCCGGACGTGGTCCAAAAGATGCAGGACGTGTACGAGGTCCTGCTGCACGACCTCATCAGCACCAAGATCAGGTGAGCGGAGTCCGGCGGATTGAACGGAACGGAACACAAGAAATTGAGCAGATTCAATGGAGAAAAGCTAGTAAACGTGAAGGAACAAGCTCCGAGTTTCGCATCTGTCTCGAAGGATCAAGCCAAGCGAGAAGGGTGGAAGACTTCCTTCTGTTCGTCTTAATGGAAATAATCTTGTTAAAGTGCTTCCAAGCGCAAGCATATCAATTCGGTTTTTACTCTGAACCTCTTACCACGATCATCAAGCAGCTTCAATTCCACCTTGTTTACCTGCACCTCATTCAGACCTCCCTAAAAGCAATCTCACCCCGCGGATTACTTCAAGGAAACTCTGTTCTCTACTTTTTGTCATTAAAATCCCTCTAACATCACCCAGCCCACTCTGCAGAGAGGACCTCCAGAAGTCAGGCGTGCTCAACGGCGCCAACGGCATGGAGCTGTGGGCGTGCGCGGACCCGCTCCCCGAGATTGAGTACCCACCCAAGGATCTCACACCCTTCCTGGAGCAGGCCAAGCGGCTGTACGTGCTGCTGACAGCTGTCCCCGGCAACGCAAACGAGCCGTCCAACGACGAAGCCAGGCGGCGCATCATTTGGTTCACCAACAGCCTGTTCATGGACATGCCCAGCCCGCCGCCCGTGCGCAAGATGGTGCCCTTCACGTGAGTGCACTACTTCCACTGCTTTTTCCGCAATTAGCTCGGTCTTTCGCTCTGACCACTTCATTCCAAGACAGCTCTAAAAACCGCAAGTTTTGGGTCTGTTTATGCTTTGAAGTTGGCTACCAATAGCAGCTTTAGGTGCTTCATTCACTTGAAAGTTCCTGAAGTTCTATTGCGGTTGCAGTTCCTCGCTCATACAGAACGTGAATGATCGAACAGCTTCGACCCTAAGTTGGCTTCCTTTGGCTCCACGAAGCAGATCTCAGCGTGGCTGTTGACTCTTGAGACAAACAAGCGGAAAAATAAGAAACGGAGCGGGGCGCGCTTACAGATTGTTCTTTGAGAAACCATCTTGACACAAGCGAAGACCCGCTGCAAGCGCTCAAACCACCCACTCTTCATCTTTTGCAGCACGCTGACTCCCATGCACAAGGAGGAGATCATCTACACCATGAGCCAGCTCAAGAAGGAGAACGAAGAGGGCCTCTCCATCATCTTCTACCTCCAGAACGTGTACCCCGACGAGTGGCAGAACTTTTTGGAGCGCACCAAGATGGATGAGGACGAGGCGTGGAGCAAGAACAAGGGCATGGAGCTGCGCCTCTGGGCGTCGTGCCGCGGGCAGACGCTCGCGCGCACGGTGCGCGGCATGATGTACTACGTGCGCGCGCTGGAGCTGCAGGCGTTCTTCGACCTCGCCAGCCAAGTCGGTGAGTGGGAACCTGTTTTGGAGCGCGTTGTGCGAGGTGTGGGGTTCTTTTCGCTTTCTGTACCTGCGCTTTCACGAGGCTCGTGTTGGTTAGAATGAGAAGATGCTTGATGTGCAGCTAATGAGGTCGTTTAGAGACTTACGCCAAAAACAGATTGGTTTTAAGCTTGATGAAGCTCGTACCGGCGAAGTTTTGGTTGAAGCCGCTTATGAACCTGATGACTTGTCTCAGTTTTACGATCGACGTGGCTTAGTTACAAGTGAGCCTTAGATTGCATTTGAAAACCAGTCTGATAACTGTGAAGTGCTTGGCCCCGCTCCCACCTTTTCTCACTAAAGATCACCTCTGAAAATCTGTTGACTTTCTTTCTGCAGAGTTGAGCAAAGGCTTCCCCGCGTTCAAGGGCGCCAACGCCGGCTCCGTCCAGGCCGACAAGTGGCAGACCATCCAGGCCATCATCCGGACCAAGTTCACGCACGTCGTGTCCTGCCAGACGTACGGACAGGAGAAGCGGACGGCCGACCCCCGCGTTGCGGACATCCATGAGTTGCTCAAGAGGTAACAGTCTGCAAATCTTGCAAAAGTCATGAACGGAAACCATGTATGGCTTTCTTGAGATTTGACCGCTTGCTTTTCCAGAATATGCTCGGCAGGATCTATATGCACGGTGGCTGACCGGCAACAACATTCCTGACTGAATTCTTCGGTACTCTTCCTAAGAGCACCAACAGGCATTCGGGGATGCACGAAGCTTTTTCAAATGCGCCACAATCAGACACCGGAAACTGTAAGCGTTTCTGAATCAGGCTTTCTGATCTGAATCGATTCTCTTCCAGCTTTATGACCAGGTCCTGGTCTCATCCACCCTTGCCAATGAAGCACCACCTTCTACCAGAGTAAATGTCCTCTGCATTTCCAACCCTGCTGACTCGTGCTTCCGCAATTCAGGTACCCCTTCCTCCGCGTTGCCTATGAAGACGAGGTGCCCCTGCCCGCTTACAACAGCGTTGGGAAGCACCTCAAGAAGGTCTACTCAGTGCTGATGAAGTGGGAGAACGGCAAGGAGGAGGAGGTCTACCGGGTGCAGCTCCCGGGGCCCATGCGGATTGGCGAGGGCAAGCCCGAGAACCAGAATCACGCGCTTATCTTCACCAGGGGAGACGGCGTGCAGGCGATCGATATGAATCAGGTAAGCCAGAAATCTTAGTAAGACTTACTCTACAGCAGAATGTCGTCTGAGAATCTTGGCGGCATGAGTCAGGTTACTTTTCTTGGAGAATCTGTGCTCACTGACCGAAGCTGTCTCAACATACTCGCTGCCTTTACGACTGTGATAAAGTGATTGAACCCTTTTTGTGGCATCTACGTCAGCAACAATGGTCAGACCGATCGAAATGGTAGCTAGTCTTCTTGTGGTTTTCCTTTTCCTGGGTTAAACTATGGTCTCGCATGAAGCCAGTTCAAGAGCAGCGTCTCTTTCTTGCCACGTCAGCCTCACCACGGGACAACTTCAGAACAGCCAAGGTCCCGTTACAGAAAAAGAACTCTCGTCCAAGATTCTAAAAGCTAAGCTCTCCCGCCTTTTCCTTCAGGACTGCAACCTCGAGGAGGCGTTCAAGATGCGCAACCTGCTGGAGGAGCTGGACATCACCGCGGGGCGCGGCCGCGACGGCCCGCACCGCGCGGTCATCGGCTTCCGCGAGTACATCTTCACCGGCTCCGTCTCCAGCCTCGCTTACTTCATGAGCCTCCAGGAGATGAGCTTCGTGACGTTGGCACAGCGCGTCATGGCGACGCCGCTGCGCGTCAGGATGCACTACGGGCACCCGGATATCTTCGACCGCCTGTTCTCGATCACCCGCGGCGGCATGAGCAAGGGATCCAAGGGGATCAACGTGTCGGAAGACGTGTTCGCCGGTGAGTGGAGCGCGCGCGGGCAGTTTCTGCAAGTTTGCGTACAGTTCTTTGTGCTCTTGAACAGCTTACGCAGATGCTTTTGCGCGTGTGCGGGCAGAAATACAACTGGAAGAGGAATGAAGAGTCTAGACCTTTCTCTCTCTCGCTCGTTCGCCCGCAAAGGAAGATTCTTCAGCGTGAAGCAGTAATAACTCACAGTGTAGCAGACGAAAGCAGACAGCAATGATCATTCTCTTATTGCATCCCAACTTCACCTCACAGGATGCAAGAAACATGAAGATCGCGTCAGCATCTCAGATTGAGCCAACTCACTAGCGGCCAGGCTTCCTGGTAATGCTGCACAGCGGCACCAGTACGATCATTAAATCGCCCCGTATATCCAATCCTCATATCTGGCCCTTTCTAAAGGATCTTTCTCTTCATTTACAGGCTTCAACATGACGCTCCGTGGCGGCACCATCACGCACCACGAGTACATCCAGGTGGGCAAGGGCCGTGACGTCGGCTTCGATCAGCTGGCCAAGTTCGAGGCCAAGGTGGCGTGCGGGCTGGGCGAGCAGGTCACCACGCGCGACATGTACCGCCTCGCGCACCGCTTCGACTTCTTCCGCATGCTCAGCTACTACTACACCGGCGTCGGCTTCTACATCAACTCCACGGTGATAAACGGCTCTTTTTTTCAGAATTGCCACTGTCTGTCTCTCCGGTCTAGTTGGAACAGATCAACAAGAAGATTGGCAAGAGTGACAGACTCCCTTGACAACAATAGGTCTAAATATAAAAGCTAGCTCTTTGTAGCGCCTTTGCTTTCAGTCATCCTTAGGGTTCTACTGAAGATCGAGGATCTGCGGCCTGCTTTTTCCAGTTTGACAGAACCCAGACATCTACAAGGTTCTCAGTTATAAACTCGTTTCTCATTTCTCAGATTTTCAACAATCGGTCCTCAACCGGCTTCGAAGTTGGAGTGCAATCGACTTTCAACTGGGGTCCCAGCTTCCTAATCCGCTTCCTAACCCGATTTCTAACACGGCGTCTATACGCTGCAGCTGCTGACTATCGTGCTATACGCGCTGCTCTACTCGTTGCTGTTGCTGGCAATGACTCGCCTGGAGCAGAAGCTGCAAGTTTTAGCTTCTGAATCGTCTTTCAATTGAGTCTTCAATCGATCAGTAACTCGGGTTTTCGCTTCCTAAACCCCGTTTCAACCTCGCGCAGCTGCTGATCATCGTGCTGTACGCGCTGCTGTACTCGCGGCTGCTGCTGGCGATGACGGGCCTGGAGGAGGAGCTGTACCTGCAGAACCAGAAGATCGTCACCAGCCAGAGCGCCGAGTGGCTCCTGCAGATCTCCATGCTCACCACCATGCCCATGCTCGTCGAGCTCTCGCTCGCCAAGGGCTTCTTCCAAGTGAGAACCCCACAGAAAGAAAGCAGATGCTTAATAACAAGATGCTGCAATTCTCAAACCTGCTGCATCGATTATGTGACTGCACTCGGGGTGTAAGATTTTGATCCCTGACCGCTGGTTTCTCTGAGAGAACTTCAATGATGATCAAAAGAGAGGAGTCAACGCTGCGGTAGACTAAAACAAACGGTTCCAACCATCCAGAACGGAGGACTGAACGAAGGGACACTTTCCCCTCTCGCTCGCTTTTCGATTCCGCGACCTCTTGTTGACCCCGCAGTCTCCGGAGGCCACCATGAAGTCCATACAGCTCTTGTCTCTCTAATCACTATAATGTTTTCCACTCCTCCTGAAATAAGTCTTTCGGTCTCTCACCCGCCTCCTTCCCGCAGGCAATCATAGAATTCATCCAGCTCCAGTTCCAGCTGTCCTCTCTTCACCTTCCTTTACAAATCGGCACCAAGATGCACTACTTCGGCCTCTGCTTCCCTTCTGAGATCGATTATTGAGCGCATTTCTCTTGGATCTGCTTTCTGAACCTAACCTTTCTCCGCAGGCGATCATCGAGTTCATCCAGCTCCAGTTCCAGCTGTCCTCGCTCTACTTCTCGTTCCACATCGGCACCAAGATGCACTACTTCGGCCGCACGCTCAACCACGGCGGCGCCATGTACCGCGGCACCGGCCGCGGCTTCTCCGTCAAGCACATCAGCTTCGCGGAGATCTACCGCACCTACAGCCGCAGCCACTTCGTGAAGGCGTTTGAGTTCATCTTCCTGCTCATCCTGTACCGCGTGTGGGGCGAGGTCAGCTTTATAACTTTATTGTTGAACCGAATGTTTTGGAATGAAATCGTGCATGGAGGGGAACTTCCTTCGTTTTGACGTCCATCCCAAACGCGAAAACCTGATCTTCTTGCTACTTTGAGTTCAACACGTACTTCGAAGCAACAGAGTACAATCAGATTGCAGTAATCTGAATTTGGCTCAAGATCTCTCCTTCAGGTATGCAAGGATTTGTTTTGTTTGAAATATACCAACTCTTCGTACAATTGTGGATACAGGTCAGCGGCTACGGGCTGGTCACCTTTGCGGTGTGGCTCATGTCCGTGTCGTGGCTCCTGGCGCCCTTCATCTTCAACCCGTCCGGCTTCGTCTGGGCTAGGTACGCGACTTGTTCACTTCTCAGTCCCCTCTTGCGGTCGGTCGGTCGGTCGGTCACTCATTTACAGAAAAGCTGAACATGTTCTGCTCTGTTTTTAGGCGCCTCTATTCAAATGCGAGTATCTTTGTGACCGTGCTTCGGTCACTTCGGCTGTGCGTTCCAAGAAGGTCATCGTTTGCAGCAGATTCCGGATGCCGTCTCGAGGCTTTGAACTCTCTTAGGCACGCGATGTAGCAGACATGAAACGCGTAATCCTAATGGTGCGAGTCTAATGGATGTAAGAAACGCATTCAAGAACTTACATTTTGCCGAAAGTTGAATTGTACTCCTACTCGTTTCGCAGGGTCGTTGAGGACTACAGAGACGCGCTCAAGTGGATGAACACGCCCGGGACCCTGGGCCACGACTCCAACACCAGCTGGGAAGTCTGGTGGGAAGAAGAGCAGGTACGCTGTTTCGCCTGATCAGCATTTACTACTGCTCCGTTCCCCTATCGTTCGCAACGTTGTTTACAAAGCGACCAGTTTGCTATGCGATTTCTAGGGTTGCAATTCTGGATAAAAGCTCATGTCCAGACTAGTATCTTGGACTTGACCTGTTTTCTGGAGTGCAATAGAACCCCCACCTCAAACCCGCGCACAAACTTCGGCTTTTGATCTGAATCTATCCAACCAGAGCAGCCAGGTGAATGTCAGAAGTTTCAACTTCTATCTGATCTTAAAGCTAAGTCAATAATCCACTAGAGACATCGCACTTTGCAGAATCTAGACATAGTCCGAACCAAACTGAGCCCCCCTGACACCCCATTTCTTCTTTCGCTGTTCCCAGGAGCTGCTGGAGACGACGAGCTGGAGCGGGCGCGTGCTGGAGGTGTTTATGAACCTGCGCTGGTTCTGGCTGCAGTACGGCCTTGTGTACCGCATGCAGGTCGCCACCGCGGGCAGCAACCGCTGGATCGTCTACGCCGAATCATGGGCCGCCATCCTCATCTTCCTCTGCCTCTGCAAGGTACGGGGAGAGGCCGCCTTGGTCCTTGTGGCGTCTTCTTGCGTCGTTATCTGTTCATGCGTGATCTTGACTCCACTTTTCCTGACTGCACGTTTGAAGGTAGGTCAAATCAGTGGGCTAAACTGATTGGCACTCTACAATCTGAACCATATCATATGGCCGCCATCCTCATCTTCCTCTGCCTCTGCAAGGTACGGGTCATTGATCGGGGAGTCGTACTTCACGTTCTGTCTTCTTCGTGTACCTATCTGAAAGACCAGGAATTCTGGTGGTCTCACTGATTGGGAAGTCGTAATTCCACGTTTGTCTTCTTCGTGTACCTGAAAGACCAAGAATTCTGGTGGTGCAAACCAAGACTGCTGCTTATACAACTAGATACGGCTGAAAAATTTGTGCAGGATGTTTGTCTATTCACTTCCTCTGCTTCTGCAAGATGGCAGGATCGGCCGCCTATTTGCTTCTCGTGGCGGCTTGGCTTCGTCCCTTTTGTTGATGCGTACTTGGGGGCTCCGGTCCAAGTACTTGAATATACGTTTGGCTGCTAGTGCTTCCTATGTTTCTCTAAGCTTTGTATGAAGGACTTCATTCTCTGGACGGCAACTTGGGGCTCAAACTCCATAAACGGGCCAGGAACAAGACAGTCTTCTAAATCTCAATCATACCATAAGCTGGCATTGGCGCCTCGTATTCGCCTGGCCCGTCTAATCTGTATTTCGGTGTTCATATCAAACATCTTGCAAAGGTCGAAAACACAATTGAAAATCGTTAGGCAGGTTTTGAGATGCATAATTCGTGGTAGCAGCAGCATCACGCCGAGGTGATGACGGGCAGGCATGGAAACCAGGCACGGAGAAAGTCGGACCCAAGTCGATTGAGAAGCCCCGCCTGCCTTTCTGAATCAGATCTGTGGTTGCTGCAGATCCTGGCCAGCTAGGAGAAAGTCGAAAGGCGAAGAATTGAGGGATTAGAGAGTCGGTTAACGAAAAACAGCTAGGCTTCTCTTTAAGTATTTTTCTTTCTGGTCGCCGCAGATCCTGGCCTCCTAGGAGAGATTCGAAAAGCAAGGAATTGAGGGATTTCGAGACTCAATCAACGCATGAAAACTTGGCTCGTCTCAAAGCATTCTTCTTTCTGGTCGCCGCAGATTTTGGCGAGCGTGGGCAAGGGCGGCGCGGACGACAAGGTGGACGACAAGTCGGGCGAGGTGCGCAGCCGCAAGAGCAACTGGGTGCGCATCTGGAAGGTGGTTGCGTTCCTGGCCAGCATTGGGATCATCGTGTACGTGTCGCTCGTGTGGGAGAAGTTCAGCGACCTCGTCATCATGCTGCTCGTGCTCTGCACCACCTCCTGGGGGCTGCTCAACGTGAGCTCGCTTTTTCTCGCGCCTCTCGTTTGTTCTCTGATTTCTCTCTCTTTTGGCCCGCTTTCTCGTTTTTCCTCTGTTTTTCTCGCGGAGGAGAGTGTTGCCGCTAGCTTCTCGAAGGGCACGCAGGCAAAGTTCAGATGGTAGAAAGGATTGGACCAAGGACTGGTCGGGCCAGCGTTTTGACCCAGCTTACCAATCTGCTGTCGGACGACGGTTAGGGACGTTAGTTCTTCGTGTCCTTCTGCGTTGTCTGGAAGTGTGTCGAAGAGATAGATCTAGTCCAGCAGAGGGGAGGGCGCAACTAAGGACGCCGTCGTCTTGAAAAATTAAAGTGAGCGCGAAATCAGAATTGAATAGTGCAAATAAGTGGAAACCAAGTACCTTCGCAAAAAGGTAGCTCGATAGAAACATGACTACTTGACGAACAAAGCGACAGAGAAGAAAAAGCGTCAACAAAGGCGCGGAGTCTCAAAACTGCCGTAGTTTGTGTAAAAAGTAGACGTGCGTGTTGCTTCTCGATCGAAAGGGCTGCTTGACGTGAGCCGTTCTGACAAGAATACGCGAAGCTAACGAGCAGAAACCATGCTCCCCTTTCGCTCGCCACACAAAGGATAACCGGACGACTTTCAAATGAGACGGCTGCCAGGCAATTGTGTGATATGAAATCTCAAACGAGAATAATGTTGCAACGTCAGCTTTTAAAAATAGCTGAAGCTGACAATCGTCGTTTTCATCCCTCTGCAGACGCTGATCGCTCTTCGGCCGATCGTCAAATGGGCCGGCCTTTGGGATTCCCTCCGCGAGCTTGCCAAGGGCTACGAGTACTTCATGCTCCTCATCACCTTCATGCCAGTCGGCATCCTGGCGTGGATCCCGTCATTCGCAGTCTTGCAGACCCAGATCCTGTATAGCCACGCACTCAACAGGGGAGTCATGATCTCTAAGGTCTTCGACCTGTATGGTCGACACAAGGACAAGCCGAAGGAGTAGATACAATTGACGCTCTATGAGCTGAAGGTGGTATTGTCCGCCTCCAGAAGATCAGGCTCTCTAGGAAGACTTACATTCCGCAGCATTTCCACCGTTTGAACATCTCCTTCAATTCCAGAAACGATTGAGCTCAGGGACCTCGATATTGATTACAATGCAATTGACTGTCTGCTTTCAGTTGGTTGCTATGGTGGACAGGATTGGAGAGCAACCAGTGCACACAACGCCCATTCATCGCCAATTGCTTGTCGACCGTGCCTGAATGCCGAGATAGAGCTGTTCCTGCACTTGGATTTTTTCCGTTGACTCTTGTGTTCAGTTGTTGATAAAGACCATTTGGCAGGATATCAATGTTCTTACGTGACAAATCAGATGCGTTGAGCCGAATATTGCAATACCTGGCCGTTTTGGCAGCCCCTCGGCTTCCCAAAATTGCCATTCCGAGTCGAGCATGTACAATTAATCACACAAGGTCAAGTAAAAGTGCATATCCATCTCTGTCAGCTCCTGGCTCTTTCGTTTCGCGGGACAGAAAATCTGTAGATTCCCAGCAAGTTAAAATCTCTGACGACTTGAACTTTGAACCTTTGCCACGGCAACGCCCCACGTTTTCGTCTTTTTGATACGCACAGGCATCGAGAGAAGGATTCATCCGAATAGCGCCATCAGTATTACAAGCGTTGGACGAATGCATGTAGATTGCCCGGTTCAGAGCACATTCCAGAGTGTTTTGGGCCCGTCCATTTGGAGATCGACAAATCCTGCCCTGTTGGAACATATTTGCTGTTTGACCATTAATGGAAGCCTTCAGGGCCTCCTCAATTCTGAAACCTGCAAGTCACCCCTGCGAGTCCTGCTAAAGCAACCTAGAATGCGCCTCATGAAGCTTCGACCAATGCGAAACTTCACACATGCTCTGCGTAAACATTTTTGTCAACGGGCGATCTGCCCTGCCGTACCGTCCCGGCCTGGGTGGGGCGCAGGCCGCGCGGCGGGCGTTCGGGGCGGCCGCACGAGCGGCCGTACAATTTAACTGGCAATCCGGCGTCTTTCTCGGATCTCAAACTTAATTTGACGTACGGCCCACTGATGTCTGCGTTTAATCCGGTAGAAGCGGAAAACTTGCAATCATGTCGGACGCCGCCCGCGAGCTGCGGTGAACGTCACCCAAAGGGTACCTCGCAACAATCCCGTGGTTCGGTCTGGACCGTTCTGCCAACCCTAGCCCCAGTCCTACGGTCTCCTACCTACTTTTGCCCACTTTTGCCCAGTGCCCAGGCCGCAGTGCTGTTTTCGGTACCGAGATTGGACGGTTCGATTTCTTGGCTGTTAAGTTTCGAACCAGCTTGTGCAATAATCCAACGGCCAGAAACCTGCCCTAGAATCCCGAGAAGACCGGGCTTTTAACCGCCCCGACTTCTTCGAGATGACTACGGTAGCCGGGTCAAGACTCAACACCTAGATAGGCCCTCCAGGCTCCAGGGCCTCGGTGGCAGTGTTCGACACGAGCCGACACACCAGGCAAACGTCAGCCGACGGAATTGCCACCCGGCCGACTCAACCGAGGGGCGTCGGCCGAAAAGCCGACAGAATCGAGGTATATTTTAGGTGTTTGGCTGACATAAGCCGACCGGTTCAGAGGTACAGCCGACTGACCGGAGAAGTGTCGGCTCTCAGCCGACAGAATAAAAACTCCGTGTCGAACGCTGGTACACGGTACCTTTATGGACATGTGCAGTGTTGTGCACTGTGCACTTGTGTGAACAGTGAGACAATACGGTACATACCTACCAGGTACCGCATACGGTTGACAAGTTGGACCATACGGTACGGTCGGTATCCGGTACCGTATGGTAGGAACCTACCGTAGTAATATTTCGGTACCTACCTGCCTGCAACGGGTAGAGGGAAGTTGAAACAAGTTGAGATCTACAAATTGGTATAGCGTAATATACAGGCTTCCGACTCCCGAGGATATAGTAATGTATAAGTGAGTGGAGATAGGTAGCAATGGTTTTTTCGTAATCACGGGTTAGAGGAAGTAACATCTGGTCCACGTCAGAAAGGTTGAGAGCCTATTATTATAAAGCTCAACCTGAAGCTAGGCTCTGGTTCTATAGCCCAGGAAATATTGTCCTGATATACCTTGACTTTAATGTTAGGTACAAAGGGGTACCGTATACGGTACCAAAAATACCTACGTCACAAACCACTGGGCAGAGTTGCATAAAAGTGCACGTGCCACTGCGCTTGCCAAGTTGGGACTGGGTCCTACCGGCCTCTCTCTACACAGTTCATCATTCAGCTCTACCTATAGGATATTACCTAAGCTAGGTAAGCTAGGCTGGCTAGCTTTCTGCGAATCGATTAAAATTTTGAACAAAGCCCAGAGAAGCGAGGCGTCCTTCAGAACGTGAAGAAGGTGGAGGACAAATGCTTTGCTTTCAATGGTGCTGGCAATTGTGTTTGAAACCTTATCAGAAGTTTTTGTATAGGCACGCGGTTGTGTTTCAGGGAGTAGCTTTTGTTTAAAGAGAGGCTCGAGCATCTTGTTCAGAGACATCGCACTTGACAATGGTCTGGTCAGGAGGCCGGTTTGGTCTAGCGAATACGGGGCCAGAGAATGTATCAAGGGATATCAGAGCAGACTGCACGCGTGTCAGTAGCTCATAAGAGAGACAAGGTGAGATGAAGGCAAATCCTCGATTGGAATGGCACCCAGCGCTTTCAGCTCAGCATTGTAGCTGCCGTTCTGCTTTGCATGAGTGGGGTGTTGTACCCTAGGTATTTGGCAAGGATGATTATGAAGTTCTCTCATCAGATCAGATGCAATTAAGCTGAGTCAACTCATTGTTCTGTGCTCAACCTGGCGCGGTTTGTGGCGTCTCGATTATTCTTGAAGTATGATGCGGAGTCTTACTAGCCTATTATTTGGGTTTTGAAGTTGCCTAAGGTGCTCATTTGTGGTTCATAAGCTATCCCCCAGATGCTTACCTTGCCCGGCGCGGTGCCATGCTGAGTTTTTCCTTCTTTGTGGCTTGCGGAGGTGTCAGAATGTCCAAAGCTTTTGGCTTCACAGGCCTTAGATGCGTAAGCCTCTCGTGTAATTGTTTACCCTTTCGCATTACATCAATCACATCATCCCCCTTCCCCTTGCCTAGAAGAGGTGCTCCTGCTGCATGCTCTTTCCTGCTGGCCCAACCCCAGTTTTTTCCAAGGCACCCTCCGCAAAAGGCTTGCACACCTTCTGCCGGCATGAAGTTCTCATTGGTTTAAAAAGAAATCTTGGATGCTGGCTTAAAGATCGCATAGCAGCTCGTTCAGTGAGCATCATGAAGACCACAATAATGGAGCAGTCGAACTCTGATGGCAGCAAGAGGTTTGGGACAGGCCTTTGACACTGGTGTGTTAAGCAGCAAAATGCTGGGGTTAGACTCTGGTTACCCAGGCCCCAGGGATCAGATGCAGCTTCAATCGTTCCAGACAAAGTAGCACAGTACTCTTTTGGAGTCTTCACTGATGCAGCTGCGACGAGGTCTGAGATCCGCTGTAGGGGTACTGTCATCGAGAGGCTTTTCCTGACATTCAGTTATCGTCCTTGTCCATATTTTTACCAGCCAAAGTACGCCGATGGCAAGGCTGTACAAACACAGCCCTTCCATCTCCAACCAAGGGCTGACATTGGACAGTTTGTGACAGGTCCATTCGGGAGGGTCAGACAACAGGCGGAGTCCCGAAGGCAGCACAGCAAGGGAGACTCCATTCTTGTTGGTAATTTGCCCTCGGCATACATCCAATTCAACAAAAGGACCCTGTGAGGTGTTCAGTTTGGACTTGCCTCCAGGGGCTACAGTTCTAAAACATGAGACCGTACTGAAGTTCAGACTGCACGACGCTTTATTCTGAAGTTTTCTGGACCTAAATGTCAAGCTTAGAGCAGGAATTCGGACTCTGGAGGGTTTCTCAGTAGCCTCTCCGTGGCAGCTGTCACTTTTGAAACTGACTGCTTTGGGGGGGTTCTAACCTCAGCAAGCAAACCCGAAATGGACTGGACTTGCCGTCATGCATGAAGTTGAGGAGTGGCGTTTTGCACTGGCTTTCAACCCTTGCGGCCTTGGGATTACCAGTGCTCCCACAATTCTGGATTCAGCGCGGCAGGTTATGCCAGATCCCAAAACAGGTTGATGATTGGATGGACTTTTGAGATCTTGCGTTCAGAATGCACTCTTGTTGGGTTCAAGCAAGAGCAAGTGGAAAGGCGTCACTTCGCAAGCCTCTGATGAGCCATATGCATCGGCAGGTTCCTGTTTTATCTCTAGCTTCCCGCTTGTGGAAGTGTGTTCCCAAGTTGAGTACATGAAGCTGGTTAGGGTTTTGGTGGGGAAGACGGGCGAGTATCTTTGAGTTGGCCCAAAAGGGCTTTGCCTAACAAAGTCTGGGTTATGGATTTGTGTCAATTAAAAGCTCTTATCAAAACAAAGTATGAGACTAAGAAGCAAGGAAAGCATGTACTTAAGGTCTTCTTTGTTATTGATTTGGGAACTCGTGAGGTTATCTTATCTAAGTTGTACAGCGTTTTGAATTCAGGAAATATTAGGTCTACTGAAGAACAATCCTCCTGAGCTGCGTAGAGCCCATTTCGCGAGAGTGTTTTTCTGTTTGCCCCTCCAGCCAACACATTGAGGTGGAAGTATGGTAGCTCGGCGGTGGCATTTGTCTTGATCTGCTGCCCATGATGGGACAAAAACTCTTGCTTGACCTCGTTTCCGGTCCCCGTTATTGGACGGAGGCAAAGACCTCTGAGCTGAAGGAGTTTCTCCAAACCCTGCATTATGTATCAATGACGCAGCCGTCCTACATTCAGTTTTGAATTGCCACCTGTTGTCATAATCACTAAGGAAGTTGTTTGAGTGTTGGTATGTCCTTTTCTCTTGATCGACCTCCTCCATGTTGTCTCTTCTATCTGGGCGCGCCACCTTCAATCGCAACTGCAGTCCGTCATTTTGAGGTTTAGGGTTTTTGATAGGCCTAGGCAGCCTCCGTCGTCTTTTCTCCAGCCCCTCTCTGGTCTAGTTTTCTTGAGAGATCTCCTGGATGGGGGTAAGAGAGTGACGCAGTGCGGAAGCATGTTCGTATAAACCGTCAGTTTACCTCTCTGAGTCCTCTTGGTTCCGTGTTTGGTAGTTACCGGCAGATTGTCAAGCGCTCACGATATAGACTGGGCTATCGTGTGCAGCATGCCATTGCAACAGCTCGGTCTCAAAGCACGATCTTCAAATGTCTCTGTTGAATACAATCTTTGAGAATATTGTGTAGAGAGACACCGCCCAAATGTTCTGTCGCTAAGCTTCCAGTCCGCCCTCGCAGGACCGCTCGACTTCTGGCTTGCCAAAAACGGCTGACCAACGCATCAGCACTTCTCTCCCGGGAGAGTCGTCCCTCCTTCCCAGCCGTGACTTCTTCTTCGGGCCCTCGCGGCGCCCACCCAAGCGGGGCCCAAATCGCGCCTATTACAATCCCATCCTCCCCCCCGACGAGCTGGTAGACCCCCCCTTTGCATTCAAGCCCCACACCGCCCCCATCGAGAGGACTACTTCCTCCCTCCCCCTTCCAAACCTTTCTCGCTCTAGTTCCTGGTCTCCGCCCCCTGACAGGCGGACCCGCTCAGGGGGTGCGCCTGACCCAGTTACTAAGTGGCGGGAAGCTTTTGCACGCGGACAATTCTCCTACCGCCCTTGCTCCACCCCGGAAAGGCAGGCGACCGGTGTCTCCTCCGCTTGGAGCGCGGTTAGGACAGTTTCGGGGGGTTCAGTTGCGAGCAACGACAGCGTGAACGGTCCAGCGACTTTCTTAGTGGACAGGGGGGTGCAGGCGGGCTTGCCGGCTGTGGTACCATCATCCCCCCAAAGCGAGAGCGCTCGTTCGATGCAAACCTCCGCGGCGCAGCACATGCGGGGGACTGTTCCGGAGGCCGTTGTATTGCGGGAGTTTGACACTGGTGGAGAGGCGGCCAGTCCGAGCAATCAGTTCCGGCGCAAGATGGTGTCAGACGGGGATGGCCCGTCGCGGGCGGGGGACCAGACGGAGGACTTCCATGACACGCACCCAGAGCTTGAGGCAAGCACTTCGGATGTCGATGTTTCAGGGGGACCAAAGGGCAGGCTCCCGTGGGGGCCGCAGTCCCCCCAAGCGCAAATCCTCAGCTCGTTTGGGGTGCAGATCCGGGATATCATAGAGCTGGCGGAGCGGACCGACCTGGTGCGGAAACATCTGGGGGGGTCCGAGATCGCTCCCCAGGCTGACAACGAACAGAGCTTGACGGAAGGGGGATCCCCCCATGTTGGAAACCCTGACAAAGCTTTGGACTTTGCGCTCCTGCGGGCAGAGCACAAGCGCCTGGCATCGTTGCCGACCACCCCCACTGGGGGGGGCGATTTGCCTGCCGTGCGGACCCCCGCTTCAGAGCCTGCGACCCCCTCTGTTAGAAACGACTCTCAGGGAGGGGGGCAGGGGGAGGATGGGAAGAAGCATTTGGAGGAAGCGAGGGGGGTGGAAGGCCTTGAGAGCAGGGGGGGGGAGGGACAGGCGGAAAGTGCGGCTATGGCGGGAAGTGTTTCTGAGTCAGATGTGAGATTACCAGGGGCAGGGGCAGCGGAGGCTCCGGTGGACCATGAAAGGCAAAGGGAGGGCCCCGTGGATCCAGAGTAAGTGGGCTGGCTTTGATCATGTGTGTCTTTTTGACACAAGCCGAGTGCAATGGGGGAGGGAGGCAAAAGTGAATGAGGCAAAGGACGAACGTGGTCATAAGTCTGCAAGTAACTCTGGTCATAGAGCCTGCACGTTTCCGGCGTGCCGGGAGGTCTCTTGGTCGCTGTTCAGGAGAAAAGGGTCTGGGTAGGAGCTCATGCGGGTGGGTTTGCCTAGCAAGGTCCGCAGATCTTGTGACAATGCTGGACTTCCTCGTGCGCGGCTTTTTGTTTGATGAGCACTAATTGCTCACCAATAAGTTGCACAAACATGCCATATTAACGATCGCTGACATGAACCTGCTTCTTTGGCAAAAACAGGCCGGCCAACCTGCTGGAAGACGAATCCAACGGCGACTCCTCCAGTCGTTACTTTGTCAACAGCCCGCAGCACGACGACGAGGAGGGGACTGAGGCCACCAGCGATCGCCAGCTGGCGTCTTTGGAGAACCATCTGGTGTATGACTTTGCGTATGAGGCACGCCAGAGGCAAATGGAGGCAGAGATCTCAGGTGGGTATGTCGGACTGCTCGATTTGGCGTGCCAGAAAATTGGAAGGCGGGTGAGCTCAGTACACTTCCTGAGCATCATGCTTGTCTTTTCTGGTTCTTTTGCGCTACCAGTTTTTGTGTCCCGCTTAGCGCTGGCAGGGACAGGTGAACAGAAGAGGAGCATCTTTTCACTGTTGCCTTTTGTTCATTCAATCATGCGTAGTTCTTCTCTACCTGTTCGGGAGAGATGCTCTCTTGAGCAGAAGCACTCTTAGAAATCTCCTCCGGATTGGGAAGTTGAAAGCAGAAAAATACAAATCAAAGTCTTGCGGAAGCGGGCAATGAAAGCTCGTCACAGAGGCAACTTAGGACATGGTTCAGAAAGACGAGCGTTGCATGGTGCTCCCTGCTTAAGGAGGAGCGGGGAGTCATCATGCCTGAAGAACTTTTGCAACGCCAGAGGGAGAGAACGGTCAAGATGGCAGGGCATCTCAGTCTGATGGAACCTTCAAAGTAACACTGGTGTCAAAACGGGTGGAAGGAGAAGCGGATTGCAGTTTGCAGTGCCGGACCTCAAAACCCGCGTGGTACCTCGGTCGCGAGCGAGAGGGTGTCTAGTAATGTCACCGCTCGGTGACGTATTATCTGCCGGGTTGCTAGCGACCTGGCAAAGGCCAACCACTACCCTGGCCAAAAAAGCCGAGCTCGCATCAGCGCCTGATGACATCGTGGTTGTGACGTTACCGTTGCTCATACATCGATAACCGAGCGATGTGGGGTTCCGCCCCACAAACCGGAGTCCACGCTCGTCCTTCCATCCGCTCAATTGGATGCCGCTTCCTTGAACACTCTGACACTACAGATTTGATTGACAGGACCCTAACGTTTGGATTCCCCCGTCCGCAGATCTAGACCAAATGAAGGAGCGCTTCTCGAAGCTCCTCCTAGGCGAAGACATGTCGGGGGGGGGCAAGGGCGTCTCTACGGCGCTCGCCATCTCCAACGCACTCACGAACCTGTCAGCGGCGGTGTTCGGCGAGCTGCATAAACTGGAGCCGCTCGCCCCCGAGCGCAAGCGCAAGTGGAAGCGGGAACTAGAGTGGCTGCTTTGCCCGGCGGACCACATTGTAGAGATGGTGCCGTCGATGAATAAGAACGCGAAAGGGCCCAGCCACGAGGTGAGGGTCCTCTGGTCACTTCTACGTTTTGGGTATTGTAGCGTGTTTGGAACTTGTACGTATCTCAGGGGTTTTGAGAGGCTGCTCTGTCTCGAGCACCGAAATGCAAAGATGAAGCTATTCGTGAGTGAGAGTGCAATCGGCTCCAGTCAAGAGGGGAGACACTCCTTGAATCCAAAGGGTCTAAATCTCCACAACTTCACGGCTCGCTTTTAGGTTTCGTTGAGCTGACTGCTATACCCTGCGACTATGGAAGAGGATGTGTTGGCAGAAATCTGGACCTGCTTGCGCTGCCTCGTACGATGACTTCCGACCAGACATTGCTGCTCACATCTTTCCGCTCAGTCTTTTGAGAGAGTTGAACGGAAGTTGTTGTCCTGGCACTGCTTGCCGCTGCCCACGAATCTTTGTTGTAAGTTGCGGAGGCTGCATCTCAAATGTTCAACTCAGGTATCTCTTCAGTGCTAGTTCAGAGTTGGCAACGTTTTGGAGCTCAAACCTGGCACTTTGTTTCATTCAGATGCCATCGTTATTCCTTGCCACGTGTCAGCTGCTGGTTCTTTGTCAGCGCCTAACCCACGCGCGTCGGTATCTGCGCTGCGCAAGCTGAAAGCTTTTCTTTCAAACCTACATATATCCAGAACCTATCCCAACGAGATCCTGCCGCGTTTCAGATGACGGGGCTTCGACAGAGTGCGTTCCCGAACAGCGCAAGCTAAAATTCTCGTCGTCACACTTTCAGTCTCCCCAGAACTGAAGCTGTCAGTAACTTGCCACGTGTCATGTGATGGTCCTGCGGCAGCGGACCCCTGCACACGTGGCTCCCCGATCTGGGGAAGCTGAATTTCTTTGTCGAACCTAAATTCGCCCGAAACTAAACCCTTCTTCAAAATTTAACCCGATAACATCCTGCCACCTGTCAGGTGATGGTCCTCCGGCAACGCGCCGACCTGCACGCGTCGCTTCCCGCGCTCCGTAAGCTGGACACCATGCTCACCGAGTGCCTCGACAGCTTCGCCGAGAAGGGCTTCTGGTATGTCGACCCAGGGCACTCATCCGGGGAGTTTCAGGGGGGCATGACGCCCCACCAAAGCGACCGGTGGTGGCTCCCCGAGGCTATGGTTCCCGCTCAGGTGATTGGAGATTCTTCAAAGGTCCTGTATGAACGAGCTTTTTGAATAGGATTTCTTTGCATTGATCTCAGGAAGAGGTTTCGGAAAGGAAGCGGAGAAGGATGGTGCCTAATGTTGCTTGGGTCGCTGGTTGGGGTCAACGCGAACGACAGCATGTTCGACACAATGCAAGATGCACGAAGGATACTTGCAGCAAGGGACTATTGACCACAGCCTTGGTAATCAATATTTTCTCCACCCGTGTTCTATAAGGCGTTCCGGTTGTCCAGACTTCTTCAAGCGTCGTTTCACTCACAGAGGAGCTCTCGCTTGCAGGGCTTGGACGAACGGTCGATGCGCAAGCTGGGGAATCAGAAGGGCGTCGCAAAACAGATTCTGAAGGCGGCAATGGCGATCAACGCGCAGGTGCTCTCGGAGATGGCGGTGCCGGACGCATACTGGGAAACGTTGCCCAAGGTGAGGTTTGGGGTAACTGGGGTTAGATCAGGGTTTGTGAGGTTTAGGGAGGGCAGCAGAGTAGTGTGGAGGCGCTGTCCAAGGTGAGGTTTGGGTTATTGGGGTTAAGATCAGGGTTTGTGAGGTTTAGGGAGGCTGCAAAGAAGTCAGGGACGCTTGGCGACCACAGCTTTCGCCGCTTTCGAGCATGCTCGGGTTTTGTCGATCTCTCAAGCGCCTACAGCTCTCTTCGCTTCGAGCAAAAGTTTCGCTCTTGCTCGATTTCTCTGGGAAACCCGCCCATAAAGGTTCTCGACATTCTACTCTTTGATTATTTTGAAATGCTTTCACCGTCTCAGAGCGGAAGGCCGCAGTTGGCTCTTCCTGATAATGGCCCCTCAAAAGACAGGTGTTTCTTGTCATACGCGTTCTCTATCACGATGCATTCTTGAAGATTGGCATCCGCCGTCCACTAAATGCAAAACCAAACGCCTTGCAGACTCGCTGCGCAGCCTCAGGCCTTACATGGTCCCGTCTGCTCCCGCATGAACCTTATTGTTTTCAGCAATAACACCTTCCCGCACATTTTAATCAGCTCCTTCTGATATGCCCGTCTTTGATTTTTAAATTCCATTACCTTACAGAGTAGCCGCGCGGCGCTCGGCGACGGTCGGTACCGGCTGCTGACGGGCGACTCGTTCAGCCCGGACATGCTACTGTCGACGGTGAAGCTGTCGGACGAGCACTCGGCGCTCAAGTGCGCCAACGACCTGGAGGCGGCCATTCACATCTGGAGGAGGAAGACGGGCAAGAAGGCCGGGGACCAGGTGAGAACGCCCTCCTGGACTGGTAGTTGGGTTTGGGTCGTTTTGCGTTTTGATGCATTGTCGAGAGTGAATGCTAGAGCTGGGCGGCCCGTAGTTGGGTTTGATTCGTTTGGCATTTTGTTGCATTGCTGAGAGTGAATGCTAAAGCTTACGGTCAGCGGAAGGCTTCGGAAGCGACATCCTGACTGACAGCGTCGACAAGCGGTAGGTGGAAGCGGACTCAAGGATTAGATTGGTCCCACCCGATCAAAGGCCAGGGGCGGCCGAGGGGTTTATTTATGTGGATGGGCCGCTGTTAGAAAGGGTTAGCGAACAAGCTGGCGGGGATGTGTTGCCGGCTTGCAACCCGACGTTAGTGACAAAGAGGAAGCAGGCAATATCTGGAAAGCGGGCAAAACGTTGGTCTGAGAAGCGGCCGGTAGTTTAAGTCCGTGATAATCCCGTGGAGCAGAATTTCCCCAAGCAGCGACTTAAACAGCGACTCAAAAGCCTACCGGTTCCGGTTCCGGTTCCAGAAGCACACTAACCGGTGTTTCTTTGCGCGCAGGACCGCGACAAGTTCGGGAACGGCTACTCCCCGGGCCACGAGGGCACCACCCGGTTCAAGAACGCGCTGAGCAACGTGATGGGGCCCATGCTGGAGAAGCGCGAGAAGCACGCGAGCCGCGCCATGGACGCGCTCTGGAACCTGCGCCTGCGCTGCCCGGGCCTCTCGCAGACCACGCTGCACGTGTACAAGATCCAGTACAACAAGGTGAGGAACTGGCCTCAGAAACGACACTGTAAAAGTCGGATTCTGCAGTCGTGTCCTGTGAATTCTGCTGCTTCGAAGCCTTTGGTTTCCTGCCACTTGGAAATTTGCAGCTGGTTTGCCCATGGCTTCTGCATCGATGATATTTGGGCGCACGGCTGGAGTCTAGCAAAGTGGCGGCAAGCAAAACGATGGTGAGGTTCGAATTTGGTCAAGTACAGATGAAGACCACTTTTTGTGCGGGTAGGCTTAGGAGAGTGCGAACACGGGGTGGGAGAGTTGCAGATTTTTAAAAAACGGTGCAAGTGCCCAGTGATGCGAACGGACTCCGCGCTAACGCCCATACTGACTCCAGGTGTTTTGCTCAGCATTCGGAGGTTTGGAGTTCTCCGTAGAGTCGGCATCCAGCCTGTTCAACGTGTCCTTACCGAGGGTGTTTGGTCCTCCTTGGATGGCAGGACAAGCAGCCCCTTCATTGTCCGTTTGCTCGATCTTTTTTTGAGTATTTCACAAGCATGCCGGGAACGTCCTGAAGACTTTTGTTTCACTAAAACTTCTCACAAACTCTCGAGTGACGCAAGCGTATGCCCTGTGTTCTCAGGACGTGGGTCAGGCGATCCTGGAGAGCTACTCGCGCGTGCTCGAGAGCCTGGCGTCCAACATCCTGAACCGGATAGAGCACGTCCTGGCCGTAAACGCTGCCGCGCGGGAGCACCTCTCCTTCGCCCGGGGCCCTGTCTCCGACTCCACGCCCGCAACTCCGTCCTCCATACACAGCAGCATCGACGGTTCTTTCACCCCCACGGGGGACGCCCTTTTCTCGGGGTCGCAAACGCCGACGAGCCCCCTAAAAGAGGAGCCCCCGATGTACACGGGAAAGACGGTCCCCGTGCTCTCGTCGGTTAAGAGGCCCGCGAGCCAAGGGTCGATGCGAGCAAAGGCGTAGGTGATGTGGGCGGAAGTGAGCTCGTGATGGATCGCTATAGGTAGCGCTCTAGGCGCGTTGGATTGTCTCGCAATCGGAGGTCATGCGAAGGTTGGCGTGGTCCCAGGGGCTGCAGTAGCTCCTCAACGAGCGTCATTGCTTGAGCTGAGTAAGTTTTTGGGCGTTATGACGCTTGCAGGCTAGGGTCAAAGGTCGATATATGTTATAAACGTGGTATGAATTGCAGAACGATGCAGCGTAAGCTGTCTACTAATAGCTGGGCAGAGATGGACTAGAATAACTCAAGAGTACTCATTATCAATAATCTAGGGAGGATTCGATTGTGGTGCCAAGTCCTATGTTTTAAATGTAAGTAAAAAACTTTGTTACACTCGACTGGTCTGCCTTGATTCGACGGTTGTCATCCTGTTGGTCCAGCCATGGCATATGCAAATTGTTTGAGATTGAAAGCCCGGCCTGGCGCTCTAAGCAGTACAGCGGATTTCGTCGTACTTACAAGCCAAAAGTGACTTATGTCCTCGCACAACACGTTCTATATTCAGCTCGCTGCATACTTAAACCACTCGGCAAAGCAATTTGACTGAGAAGACGGGCATGGGCGCAAGCTGTACACCCGCCATGTGCCGATATCCAGGTCCAATCATGATGCACATCGCATGCGCATGGCGCTGTTTCCACGCGGCACACAGTGACAACCAGGTATAATTAAGCTGATCGTTGTAGTGACATCCGATGATCTCGAGCTGGCACATAGTGTGACG